AGGCCAGAGGCATGGGGGCGAGGGGGGCGGTGAGAGGATTCACTAGAGACAGAGTGGGGAGTAGAACAGGTGGATTTACTGAAATACACTGCTGAGGGGAGTAGCAGGCAACACAGGAGAGGTCTGCTGTGCCATGTGGGTCACCTCCCTGGCGATCAAACTCAGGCCTTTGATGTGGGCCTTCGAGGTGGTAACACTGAGACTTATCCCCTAAGCCCCCAGGGAGCCCAAAGTATATCATCTTTAAAAATACAAATTCTATATTATTCTAACAGCTGATATTAGGTAGCCAGCAAAAACCAGGGTCTCTAAATACTATTACTTCAAAGAATGTGTAAATAAGTCTCTATGAATTAAAGACAAACAAAAAATAATGAGCTCCCCAGAAGTAGATGAGTCTGGTTATCTCTCCTTGGGGAGAAGGCTTACTTTCAATATATAATAATTTCACTGAAAAATACTTGGATTTTTTTTTTTGTTTGATTCACTTTTTTAGTCACAAACATCAATGAAGTATCTCTGTTCTCTGTTGCATCTATTTATCTTGTTTTCCCTCTTTCCCATTTCCTTCTGCATTTAATACATTAATAAATTGAGGTCAAGTACATACAACATGGATCTTACCATCTTATTCATTTAAGTGTACAGTACAGTGGCAGGAAGTGCATTCAGATTGTAGTACAGTCATCACACCATCATCTCCAGAACTCTTCATTTTGCAAAAACTAAATAATGTACACACGAAACAGCTCCCCATTTCTCTTTACCCTCAGCCCCTGGCAACCACCGTTGAGTGTCTCCTAGGAATTTACCTGCACTGGGTACCTCAAATACAGAACTTGTTTTCTTTTGTGACTGGCTTATTCATTTAGCGCAAAGTCTATAAAGTTCATTTGGATTTTTTTTTAACCAGTAGTATTTTATTACTTTTCCAGTTAAAAAAAAAAAAAACTAATTGGTTGTCCAAAATATCATTACATACAGGGAAAATCAGGAATCAAATAAAATGTCATCATAAATTTGTTTTTTAAAAATATCACACATATTGGAATTCAGTAGGAAAGACTAGAAATTTCTAGTGATGTCCCATGATTATTTCTAGATGGGTTATGGTTATATTTTATTTTCTATTTTTTCGTTATTCTAGAAAGAGAACTGTTCATAAATGGGGGGAGGAAATCTGTCTTTAAAATAGGTATGTCAAACTCAGCAAATGCTTCACCACAGTTTTCACAGGAATATCCTGATTTGACTAAGTTCCTCTATCACCATAAATTAAATACACCAGCAGTTTTCAACCTATATATCCAAATGTGAAGCTAGGAAAGTAATGTTTATCTTGGCCAACAAATGCATTCAATAAGTGAGTATGAAATCCAAGAACAGAAAAATGATCAAAAAGTCTCTTCTACCTGAGTCTTGTGTTTGGCTCCCAGCAGGTCCTCCTGGGCGATCCCATGAAAAGTTTCCACCTTGGAGTTGTCACATTGGAGCAAAGCGAAACTGCCCCAGCTCTTGCAGTCTGGCTTGGGAGTGGTGATGGCGTGTATAGTCTATAACTTCACAGGAAGAGCTGGAAATTGCCTGTAAGTATTTATGCCATGGAAATAGGAGAACACTAAATTGCACATCCTACCTCCTGTACCCCATAACACACACAGGCCCGCCAGAGAGCCTGTGGTTAAACACATACTGCTGGGCTGCCCTCCTCTGCTAGGACAGGTGAATCATCCTCTCTCTAGTCCGTGGCTGCCCATTTTGCAGGGAGCTGGACGCTCACTTTCCTGATACCACTGCATGTGGCATTTTGTCTTCTGGTGGGGAGATCTGCCTTCCAAGTTCTTGTCCTTTTGGACATCAGATTTCACTCTCCTGGTCTTGGGCCCAGACGGGAGAGACTCTGGTCAAAAATAGAGACTCATTTGACAACTCTCCATTTTCCATTTTCCCATCTCATCCTGCTACCTTCTTTTTGGAACTTGGTCTGATTTCAGGCATCTGTGCCCCAATTCTTTTCTTCCTGGCAGAAGGCAGTGGAGAGGTGGGAGAAGGTGGTATCACTGGAAAATGCGCAGACTTTCTTCTCCAGAGAACAGATCAAGTTGATTTTGTTGTCCCTGCTCCTTAAGGTGCTAACCTTTGGGTCCCAGGCCCAAAGGGGGCACAGGTGGGATTTTGCCATCCACCTCTTGGTGCCCCTCAGGTGTGGCACGTGGTGCTGGACTGAGGGACCGGATCCTCCCATAGCTGGTTGGCCCTTTCTGAAGCCCCCCGGAGAATAACTCTAGGTTGAAGGGAGAAGCTGGTTGTTGCTAAGAAACCGCTCAGCACTACCTCTTGGGAGGTACATGTCAGGAGGAGTAGGGGCAGAAATAATTGGTTCCTGGAGGATTTCAAAGACCCAGGCTGTAAAAGCAATGTCAGGAACCCCAGTCTGTTCCTCCAAGTCTGATCATGACTTAGCCAAAGACCTGGCTTCAGATCCCCAGCTTTACCCCTTCCTCTAGCCCCCTAGTTGCAATGTAACTTGACATCTCAGAGCCAGCTGTAAATTGGGAAGAATAATACCTACCTCTCAGTGTTATCATGAGGACTGAACAAACTAATGTATCTTTCAATTCATGGGAGGTGAAAATGGAACAAAACCAAACCAGCCATGCGTAGCAGCCTAAGCAGAGAGGTGTTTGAACACCATGTTTAATAAAAGATTGTGGAATTAAGGTGTCTCGACAGGCTCTTTCAGAGTATATTTCAAATGACAGCCTCTGAAGCAATGCCTTAAAGACCTTGGTTGGGCCCCTTCATAGAAGTCAACTCACTTTATCTTCACAACAGTCCTGCTTGGCAGGAACTATTAGGTGTGGATAGTGAAAGCAGGACTCTGGAAACCACCCTTGATAAGAACCCATGGTGAACTCCCAACTCACTGGTCACTGATCTAAGCAGAGCATTTTCTGTTGTCCAGAGTGGCCTAAAATGTGACTGACGAAAGGACAGGGCGCTTTCCAACAATTTCTCTCTTGGTCCTCCGCATCCTGTACCCATATCAGAGAGGGTGGATATTTCCTGAGCCAGCTCTGTCCCAGGCTGAGTGGCCTTGGTGTTTCCTTTTAGGCCTGCTCAGGGGAATGCCCTTGTCTACTGGCCCAGAGACACTCAAAACATCCAGACGATGGCAGCCTTTGGACAAGTGACTGATTTGGAACTTTGATTGGCAGGACTTGGAGTCAAATAGATGTGGGTTCCAGTCCTGGTTTTACCACCAACGGGCTTTGTGACCCAGAAGGTGACCTAGACCATACATTTCTCACCTATAAAGTAATTGGGTCCAAAGGTTGTGGAGAGGGTCCTGTGAGATGGAGTTTCTAAACTTGGAAAAAGGCCCAGCCCTGCAAACCGAAGTGCTATTATCAGCATTGTAAAACATTCCTAAGGAGGTTGATCTTCTGAGGTGGGGAACTGGTCATAAGAACCATGTATTTGACTTAGCAAATATATCTGGAGGGCCTGCTTTTTGGAATTCCCTTTAGAAGGCACTCACCAGGGTCACAGAAGCTTCCAGAGTCTCAGCCGAAAACTGGCCAGCTATTTGTTGCTTTCTAATCTACACTTAGCCACTTATTTATGTACTTTTTTTTTTTTTTATTGGCAAGTAACTGATTTTACTTATCTCGGGTGTGGATCTGAGGACCTGCAATGTCAAAACCTATGGGATTTTCATTTGTTTATTTAACAAATACATATTGAATGGTAACTAGGTGCTAGGTGTTGGGAGTACAGGAAGTCTGTCTAGGATAGAATTTACCTTCCACCACAAGGTAAAGGAAGATAAACAAAAGTAAAGGGAGAGAGGAAGGAAGAAGACTGGCAGGAACTGACTAAAGAGTTAAAAACACTGCATAAAGGAGGCGAAAAAGAAGAACTGTGCAGATTTATGCCTCAGTTCATTAAGCGAAACACTTTTATTGATTTCGAGAAGATTTCATCACGGAAGAAGTATTTCAGTAAGGGGCCTTTGGACAACAGAACCACTGCTTTTCCTAATAGTAATGTTTGCTTTCTTCCCCAACATTTTAAGATGAGCATTTGCACGCACACAGAGATATTGGAAAGTGCAAACACCCATATATCTATTTTAGAGTGTGCAACTAATATTTTAATGTACTAATTGCATTTTTTAACAAATGAAGTTACTGGTTGTTAGGCTGTTTGAAGTTTCAGTTGTTCTGTGATGAGCAGAACTGTGATTCCCCAAGGACTGGGGTGTGGCAGGGTAAAAAGAAGGATTTCCAGTCCGGGGAAGGTAGCTGTCTGGGAATCAGACTCAGTGGGGGAGGGAGAACAAAATGCTCCGGAAAAACAAGTTCCGCTGACCTCGACGCTCTAACTGTGTGGCCTCAGCCAGTTAAACCGAGGACAGGCGTCTCCAATGGCTTGGGTACTTTGGGCTGGGAGGTCTAAGGGATTATCTTTCTTCCGCTCCAGGCATGCCTCTGCAAAGGACAGAGAAAGGCAGCGATGGCGGCCTGGCGTCCGTCCTGGGCGCAGGAAAACAAGTGAAACTCGCAGGACGGCTAAGCTGGGACGCCGAGGGGGCCTACAATTCTGCAGCTTGACAGTCCCCCCGGCTTGCGACGCTCCTCCGGGCGCTGCAGCCCGCGAGCCAGCCGGGGCGCGGGGCCGGCCTGCGGCAGGGGCAGGGCGCAGTCCGGCCCAGCTGCCCGCGCCTGCAGCCGCCGTCCCGGGCGCAGGAGGCTGGGGAGGGCCCGGCCCCCGCGCTCCGCCCCCGCCGGGCTGGAGCCGGCCGGGCGCGCTGCGCGTAAAGCCCTCCTCCCGGCCAAGGTAGAGGAAGTCGGGCTCCCGCCTGGATGGGAGGCGCGCGGGCGCGCGGCCCCTGTTGTTTTCCGCGAACCGGAGTGGGTGGCGGGCTCAGGGGGCGGGGTGCGCCCTGCCCCCCGCGGCTCGGGCGCTCGGAGGGAGCATCGTGCCGTGCGCCCCGCGCGGCTGCCAGCCCCGGACGTCGGGCTTGGCCCGAGCATCCTTCCCGGGGGCTGTGGAAAGTGCAGCCTCGCCGTCGGTTCCGGGGGCCGGGAGGAGCGCTTGGTCTTACGGGGGCCAGGCCCTGGGGGGCAACCGCAGCCCCGCCAGAGCCTGCGTTTCCCGAGGGGCCCCTGCCGGCGTCTGGGGCGAGATGGCCGCGGGCGGCCGGGCTCCTGCGCCCTGGGTCCTGCTGTGCCTCGGCGCACTGCTGGCTCCCTGGGTCTCCGCAGGTAAGGCTCAGCGATTTGAAGGGAAAAGTTGAGTTTTGCTAAAGCTTCGGCTGGGAGGGCAGAGCCAGGGGCAGGATTCCGTCCATGCCGCCCGATCCGGCGGGGGCCGCGGCCGGGAAGCCGCCCCGGGAGGGTCTGGAGTTTGCAGCCGTTCGGCTCGCTCTGCAGCCAGGAATTTTCCCAGGCGCTTGATGGAGGACGGGCTGTCCCGGCTCTCGGGACCCGCAGCCGGCGAGACTGGAAAGGGTGTGCGGAGAGGTGATGGGAACAGTGGGGAATGGAAAATGGGGATTTGGAAGATGGGAAAATTGGAAGTGTTGGTTTTTGAAGGCGTCGGGTATAAATTCGCGTTCTGGTTTTACCTGCTGCACGGGTGCTCAGACTCCAGGCTCCTTTATTTTGCTCTCCCCCCTCCCTCTGCTCAAGGTGGAACCCTCCTTACACCTGTAACCTGTGAATTTCCCTGCACACACCTGCATGCTGCCCTGTGCAGACCAGCACACTCAAAGCCATGCCTTCCTCCTTCACTTTTTTAAAAAAGATTTTATCTTGAAATAATTTTATGACTTACAAAAAACTTCCCGTTACACTTGACATGATTGGTAAAAGATCTTAAATGCTTTATCTGTACTCTCCCTCGTGAGGGCTGCTTACTAAATATATATATGATATATATCATGTAAGAATAGCATATATATCATATATATCATGCAAACTATTTTTTAATTTAATTCACTAGCAAATTCAGGTCTGTAGTGTGTAGGGCAGAGTCACAAGCAGTGAAGAGACACTGGTGAAGAGAAAGGAGATGGAACCAGGGAGGTGATGTAATTTGCTAAATACTTGCACACTGCTACTTTCTGTGTCTTCATGTCTCCATGTCCACCCTACCCAGTTGATCTCTTGCAGGTTCCTGGAGGAACTGCTCTGTGAGCTTCCTAGCAGCAAGTGGGAAAAGCTCCTAATTGCTAGGTTCTCACAAGTTTTTATTTTGTTTTGTTTGTGGCAATTATTTTAGAACAATAAACTTGCCCATAATCTACATTTTCAGTTTATCTGAAGAAAAATCTGAAGATATGGCAGCAGACAGCCTGTTTTCCCACCTGGAACTGATCGGAAGTCATGCCCTTTAATATAGGGCATGAGACCCCAAATTTGGTCTACCTCTCCCTGATGTGGTAGTACTTCCCCCTGGCTCTCTTCAGTCATGGATATTACCTGTTGAGTCCTCCAGGCATTTGACTTGGTGGTCACTGTGTTGGGGGGAGGAAGAGAAAACAGCCTCTACTCTACCATCTCTGGAAGTTAAAGGTGATAGTCTATTTCCGACTCCCTGTCTGTGCTGTTTACTGCATTGTGAATATCAAGGGCCTCCAGACCTCAGAACCCTGGTTTAAAATCATACTGGAATGAACTGGCTTTCAGGTTGACTAGGACTCAGTGACCAGGAAGCTTCCTCCACTGCCATTCCCAGTTTTGATGCCCAAGCCAGGACCTCCTTTGTTTATGGTGCTGGGGGGAGGGTGCTGTTGTTTGTTAAGATAGGAGTTGTTTTGGGTGTAAATTTGTTTTTCTTCCGTCACTTAACTCTGAACAACATTTATGCCTCCACTTGTAACATAAGAGTGTAAAACCCAAACTTTGTAAATGATAATACAAGGTCAGCATTGGAAAATGATCCTTTATATTGCTTCCTCCTTTTTCCATACTCTGAATTTGGGGATGTTCAGGGAATTCTCTGGATACCTGGGCATAACTTTTAGTAACACAAAACTGTTACTATGTCTTTTTGGCCCATTCAAGACCAGAGCAAATCCCTGTGACCTGGAGTATTGAAGAGCTGGCAATCCCAGCCCCCTATCACTTGCATGGGATTTTAAGTGCATCATGTAAGTTTTCCAAGCCTCAGTTTTCTCAACTGTGAAATGGGGGAGATGGGATGATCAGGCATGGAAGTAGTATCTCAGAAGATTGTCCTTTCTGTATGCATGTCAGACATCAATAATCAATGACTACCCAGTCAAGGCTCAGCCTGCCTCATCTTTAACCCAGTCCTCAGGACTGTCACATCTCATGACTAAAGGATCTCTAAGGTCACCTTCAGCTTCAGTAGATAGAAGGATGGAGTGAGCAAAAACAGAAGGAGAGGTAAAATGCCTTAAAAGGGTTTCTTTTGTGATATGTCATTCTAGTCCTTGGAGGAGAAGAAAATGTCAGTTCAGGTTTCAAGACTAAAGTTTCACCAGAGCTTTTCCATGTGCCTTTATTCCTTTGTCAAGGAGCCAAGGAAGGGGCAGGTCTGCAGGTTTCATGAACACACATTGCATCTGTAATTCTACAATTCATCTTCCTTTCCCCAGCAGGGACTGCCACTGAGAAATTAGGTCCCCAGACCAAATTGTTTAAAAATAATTCTCACCTGCTTTTTAAAAACAGAACCGTTTCTTGCTGTTTTGGAATCTCTGGCATTTGATGACATCCTCTGCCTTCCTTGTTTTGGGAATGGTGTGGCCAAGTTAGGAAGAAAGTCAGGACATCCTGTAGTTCCAAACTGGCTTCTGATCTTTCGAATGGAATTGTCTAGCCAGACAAAAGGCAGATAACTAGGACTCTGGGAAGGATTTCCAGAGGTAGCGGCAGTTTATTTTTCCATAACAAATTTACTGAGGTATAATTTATATAACATAAAATTCACCCTCATTTTATTAATTTATTTTTAATTGAAGTAACATTGCATTATAACATTTTATACATTTCAGGTGTGCATCATTAAAAGTCAACTTATGTTCATACTTCTTTTACCACACAATTTTGACCCCTTTATCTGATTTACCCATCCTCCTTTCTGCTTTTCTGGTAACTACTAATAGAAAATTCACCCCTTTACAACGTGTACAATTCAGTGGTTTTTTTTTTTTAAAGATTTATTTATGCATACAAGAGCTGGGGTGCAGGCCAGAGATGTGGGGTGGAGGGGTGAGAGAATTCACCGGAGACAGAGTGAGAGACAGAACAGGAGGATTGACTGAAATACACTGCTGAGGGAGGCAGCAGGGGAGATGAGAGATCTGCTGCACCATGTGGGACACCTCTCTGGCTGGGGATCGAACTCATCCTGCAGTGGCTGCAGAGCGCTTCATAGTGCTGCGTCTTAACCTCTTGCACCACCAGGGAGGCCCCCAATTCAGGGTTTTTTATTATACTCACAAGATTGCACAACTACCACTATGAATTAATTCAGAACATTTCATGGGGACCTCTCCTGTCATGCCCACTGCTCCCTTCAGCAGTGTATTTCGGTCATCTGCCTGTTCTGCTCCCTGCTCTGTCTCTGGTGAATCCTCTCACCCTGCAGCACCTCTGGCCTGAACCCCAGGTCTTGTATAAAAATAAATCTTAAAGAAAAAAATTCAGAACATTTCATCATCCCCAAAAGAAGCTCTGTATTACTACCACTAATAGTGATGTATTCCCACTAACAGACAAGTTACGTCCCCAGCCCTAAGCAACGGCTAATCTATTTTCTATCCCTCAATTTGCCTATTTGGACATTTTATATAAAGGGAGCCACACAATATGTGATCTTTCCTGACTGCTTTCTTTCACTTAACATAATGTTTTCAAGATTCAGCAATGTCATAGCATGCCGATTACTTTTTCTGGCTAAATAATTTTTCCATTGCTATACCACATTTTGTTTATCCATTCATTAGTTGATGGGCATTTGGGTTGTTTCCACTTTTTGGAATAAGGCTGAATAACGCTGCTGTGATACAAGTTTTTTGTGTAGAGATTATTTCTCTTGGATATATACCTAGGGATGGAATTGCTGAGTCATACGATAACTTTAACTTTGTGAGGAAATGCCAAACTGCTTTTCCAAAGTAGCTGCACCATGTAAAAACCCTACCAACAACATATAAGGGTTCCTGTTTCTCCACATCTTTGTCAATACTTGTTTCTGTCTCTCATTTTAGCCCTCCTGATAGGTGTGAAGGGATTGATAGCTTATTGTGCTTATTGGCCATTTGTATATCTTTTAATCCTTTACCCCTTTAAAAATTGTGTTACTTGCCTTTTTATTGAGTTTTAAGAGTTCTTTATAGTCTGGATACAATCCCATACCACATCTGTAATTTGTAAATATTTTCTCCCACTCTTTGAGTTGCCTTTTCACTTTCTTGATAATATCTTTTGGAGCACAGAAGTTTGTAATTTTAACAGTCCAGTTAATCTATTTTCCTTTTTCACTTGTGCTTTTGGCGTCGTATCTGAGAAGTCATTGTTTAACTCGAGGCCACAAAGATTTATTCTTTGGGGTTTTCTTTCTAAGCATTTTATAGTTTTAGCTCTTACATTTAGATATATGCTCCAGTTGAATGGTTTCTATGTGTGATGTGAGGCAGGGAGACCAACTTCATTCTTTGGCATATGGCTGTCCAGTCTTCCAGTACCATCGTTGAAGGCAGTTTTGTTTTTTTTTTAAAGATTTATTTATTTATTCATACAAGCACTGGGCACAGTCAGAAGTGCGGGAGGGTCAGAGAATTCACCAGAGCCAGAGTGGGAAGCAGAACAGGCAGAAGGACCGAAGTCCACTGCTGAGGGGAGCAGCGGGCAGCAAGAGAGGTCTGCGTGCCATGTGGGACCCTCCCGCCGGTGGCCGGGGATCGAACTGGAGCTGCAGAGGTTGTGACAGCTTCTCAGCCCAGTGTTCAGCCGCTGGGCCACCAGGGGAGGCCCTGAAGGCAGTTTATTTGTAACAATATCATCTTTCATAAACCCCTAACATACTCACATACTTTGAAAACTTCAATGGAAGCATTGATTGAAGAATAGCAAGAAATCACTATACCAGTCCTGCCCTGCCTGCTTCCCTTGTAACTGTGCTTGCTTTCTTTGCACCACACTTTTCTCATCTCCTGAGTGTGACAGCGTAAGTAAAAGACCCCTACTAGGTTCTGTCTGTTATTCCCATGACTGTGGCCTCTTTGTATTTGGGTGTTGATTGTGGAGGGGGCTGGGAAATTATGATACTTCTCAGCAAAACAGGCTGCATTTGCTTCTTGTTACCAGGTGGCAGTTTTATGCTAGATCAGTTGCTCTTGACTGAGCATCAGAATCACCTGGATGGAGACCTGACCACCCCCCACCCCCACCCTCAAGTTTCTAATTTTGATGCTCTAAAATGAGACCTGTTTACTTGCATTCCAACAGTGCTGCTCCTTTTGATCTGGGCTTTTTGAGCATGCTATATACCCTCTGCCTGGGCACCCCCTTTTCACTTTTACCTGGCTAATTCCTACTTGCCCATCAGATCGCATTGTGGCTTTCTGGAGGAAGCCTTCCCTGACTGTAGCAGTGGGAAGGCCACAGGGCAGGGTCTCTATGACCTGGGCAGACGGGGTGAAGGAGGAGTCTGTAGCCCTCAGTGGCTTTTTCAGGCTTTTATTGGGATTTACCAGGTACTTGGCAGGCAGGGGTGCCGGAGGGACTGGGAGGAGGAGCAAGTCTTCACTCTTTCTGGGCTCTTTGGTGTTCTCTCGTGGCCTCTACTTCCTGCTCCTTTCACTCTCTGTTCCGCTGGCGTGCCCATGACGCTGCCCTTATAAGCCCAGCCTCTCAGCCCAGGTGTACCCACTACATAGGCCCACACCCTACTCCAGGTGCCCGCCATCAGGCATGCATTCCTGATGCATCATTGATGCATCAGGATCCTAATTGATCCTAATTGTTCCATCATTGATCCTAATGGCGGGAGGGTAGAAAAGCCTGATACTTTTTTACCTTACACTGGCATTCACCCCATTCAAGAATGGACCTACGAGCCCCTTCTTGAAGGTCCTATCATGGTATTTCTCATTCTGGAATGAATGGACAGAAACCAACCCCCACCCCCAAGGTCTCTGTTTTGTCCACTTCTGTCTCCCGGGTGCTGGGTACAGGGCTGACCAAAGTAGGTGTACAGTGACTCTTGAGCCTCTTCTTGCATGAGCTGTCCAGAGAGTTTTAACTCCAGGATCAGTTGTGCCTGCGATGAAGAACGAAACAGAAAGAACAGCAGGGATGCCACAACAAGTCAGAGGGCCCTTATTCCATCCTTTCTGGATTTCTAAGTGAATAAAACCACTTGGGTTCTGTATCAGTTCTTTATAACCACAGTGATAATGGGCAACAACCAATCACAGATGACAATAAATGCTTATTGCTTAGGGGTCTGGGGGCTCTGCTTATTTAGCCTGGGCTCACACTTTTGGAGTGGACTGGCTGGCTGGAGGCTGATCAAGAATGGCCTCAGCTGTGAGGATTAGGACACCTGGGGTCAGCATCATATCCTCTTCCTCTTCCTCCTCCCCCTGGTACCTGACCTGCAGGGCGCATTACATAAGTGCTTTAAACCTCTGGGGCATCACATTTGGTAGTATCCCATTGGCCAAAGCCTGTAACGTGGCTGAGGCCAGCGTCTGAGTGGGAGGGCGCTGCAGGGTGCTGCCAGGAAAGGCATGGCACAGTTGGGGGTGGTATTGAAGCTCCTTGTGATTTTGGTCTTTTGCAAGTTCATTAATGTATAGTACTAGGCAATAAGCCCAACAGCATGGTGGCTCTGTGTTACCTACCTTAAAAGCACATATCTGATTTAAAAAAAAAAAAAGCCTATATCAGATGGACTGTGCAAAAAAAAAAAAAGTGGGGGGTGTTCAGAGATCAGGAAAGGTGGTAATAGTCTGACCTTTCCTTCTACAGGATTGGAGGCTGTTGTCATCGGAGAGGTTCACGAGAATGTTACTCTGCTCTGTGGCAGCGTCTTGGGACCAAGGGGGCTGGTGACCTGGTACCGGAATGACTCGGAACTGGTCTTCCTCCTGTCCTCCAATTCCAGCCTCCAACCTGCCGACCCCCGCTACTCTCTGGCCAATGCCGGCTCCCTGCACATCGAGACGCTGAGCCTGCAGGATGAGGGGAACTATACCTGCCAGGAGGTTCTGAACGAGACTCGCTGGTTTCGAGTATGGCTGCAGGTGGCCAGTAAGTGGAGTGGGAGGGCACTGGGGCTTACTGGGAGATGCTGGGAGCAGCAGACAGGAGGCGGCTTAGATGTCAGTGACCTGACAGCTTTCATTCCTGGTCCCTGGTTCCTGTCAGCTGAGTGACCTCTTGCACCAACATTTCCTCGCGTGTAAAATGGGAATGAAAGACATCTTGCTTCATAGAGCTGTGAAGAATAGATAACAGTTTATCTCTGAAAAGTGGTTTAAATGGCTCCTGCTATATTAGGTAGCTGTTACTTTTAGCTTGTTAATATCATCCTTGCTATTGATAGCATTTTATTATGTAGCAAAATCAGGGTGTAACATCATCAGATTGGACTGCCACAGTTTCAGTTCTAAGGCTATGTTTCCACCATGAAAAGTAGATTAATATCTCTGGGATTCCATTTTCCTTTTGGGTAACACTGGACAAAACATTGTATCCCCTATCAGGTATGCTCTTGTGCTGTAGTGCTTGATACAGGGCTTAGCACAAGCTGCTGTTACTACTGTGCCTTCCTACCACGGCCTATCATATCCACTGATAATGCCCAGTGACTTTGGAATAGGGGTTGGTAGACTATTGTCCCAAGCTAATGGGCCATTTCCAGCCTGCTGCCTGTTTTAGCATGGCCTATAAACTACGAATGTTTTCTACATTTTTTAAAAAAGATGTGTTTGCTTATGCATACAAGAATTGGGGTGTAGGCCAGAGGTGGAGAGGTAAGAGGACTCACCAGAGACAGAGTGGGGAACAGAACAGGCGGATCTACTGAAATATACTGCTGAGGGGAGCAGCAGGGAGACAGCAGAGGTCTGCTGAGCCATGTGGGTCAGCTCCCTGGCTGGGGATTGAACTTGTGCTTCAGTGGCAGCGGATTGCTTCCTAGTGCTGCATTTTAACCCCTTGCGCCACCTGGGAGGTTCCCTGTTTTCTACACTTTTGAAGGGTTGAAGAAAAGATTTGTAATGTGTGAAATTTATATTTCCATGGCCAGAAGTAAGGATTACAGCTACATTCACTTGTTGACATATTACTCTGACAGCTTTTGGAGCTTCGGTTGCAGAGCTGAGTGGGTGTAACACGCTTCATCTGGCCTGCAGAGCTGGGTATATTTCTTCTCTGACCCTTTATAGAGAAAGTTTGATGGTCAGTGGTTTAGAGTGACATCCAATTTTTAGACCAGCACATGTGGTTTAGTAGAAATACATTTGGGATGACTTTACTGCTCCTTAGCTTCCTCATCTGTAAAATAATTACTCATTCTTTCATTCAACATGTATTTACCGAGAGTCTGATACCAGGCACTGATTAGGCCCTGGCCATAGATATTGACAGGACAGACAAGGTCCCTTCCCATGTGCAGCTGACATCCTAGTGGAGGAAGACAGACAGTAAGCAAGTGAGAACTGCAGCTGGCAATAATAAGAGTAACAAGTGCTATGCAAAGAATTGAGGTGCAGTGATGTGATTCCCCAGAAACACCTTAAATGGGGGGACTGAGGATCAGGGTCAGAGAGAAGCTTTTGGAGGTAGTACCATTTAAGCAGAATGGTTGTGCCATCTAGGCAGAACTACAACTAGTGCAAGAGGGACTGAGCTTGGTGCACATGTGGCATAAGAACACGTGGGGAGGAAGCTGGTATGGTGGGAACCCAGTGTGTGAGAGGGCAGGCTGTGTGAGATGTGGGAAACAAGGCCAGACCCTGTGTGGGATCGGTATTATGGGTTGAATTATATTCCCTCAAAAGATTTGTTGAAGTCCTAACTCCTAGTACCTGTGAATATGATCATATTTGGAAATAGGGTCTGTGCAGCTATATTTTGGAGGTGGCCAGCAAGACTTACTGGATGATTGTGAGTGGAGGGTGAAGAGGCTTTAAGGACACGTTAAGATTTTGGAATGGGGCCTCCCCAGTGGCACAGCGGTTAAGCACTGGACTGAGAAGCTGCCCTCAGCCTCTGCAGCGTGGTTCGATCCCCAGCTGCTGGCGAGGGTCCCACATGGCGCGCAGATCTCTCCTGCTGCTCCCCTCAGCAGTGTATTTTGTCGGTCTGCCTGTTCTGCTCCCCACTCTGGCTCTAGTGAATTCTCTCACCCTCCCGCGCTTCCGACTGTGCCCAGTGCTTGTATAAATAAATAAATCTTAAAAAAAAAAATTGGGGGATGGTCCCTAAGGTTTTGCCAACTCCCCAGGCTTGTGGAATTTGTGAGCACAGTGGTTTTGTGCCTGGAGATGCAATAGATGAATTGCTGACTGGCTAGGAATGAATGTGGGTGTATCAAAAAATGTCACCCATTTTGGCCTAGCTATGCATGGTCCCCACTGTGAACCCACGGGAAGAGCTGGCAGGCCTCCCTCACTCCAGCCTCACTCAGCCTTACCCATAAACATCTCCTATAAACATGACCACAGAAGTGTAAGGTCATTACAATTTTTTTAATCATATATGATAACTTTATCTGATACTGATTTATTAATCATTGACTGAGTTTATTGGAGGGCACATTCTTTTTGTTATTGCTCTGTAGGGAGATAATGCAATGCAAGGCCTTCTTATGTAGCACATGAACTTATATTGAAAAAAATATCGTGGTCGATGGTGCCTCTCTAGAAAAAAAAGAGAAATAATTAGACTCAAGTGGCACTTTGGGTCCTATGCATGTTGAAGTTACTGTGGTATGGTTTGTATTTTGGAAACTTCTATATTTGGAAGATTGGGGGGGGGGTTCCTGATGTGAAAAGAACAAACACACCAGGCAGTTCAGACTGCTGCTTTAACCAAAACAGCATAGACTGTGTGTCTCAAACAACAAACATTTATTTCTCACAGTTCTGGAGGCTGGAAGTCCAAGATCAAGGGCTGACAGATTAGTGTTTGGCCAGGAACTGCTTCCTGGTTTGTGAATAAGGGAGAGGAAGCAAACTCTGGGGCCGCTCCTTTTAAGGACACTAATCCCATTCATGAGGGCTCTGCTCTCGAGACCGAATCACCTCCTCAAAGTCCCCACCTCCAGATATCATCATTTTGAGGATCAGTTTCAGTATTTGAATGGGGGGGGAGGCAGTGGGAGGCACAACATTCAATCCAACCCAGAGCCCTCCAGAATCTCAGGCCTTGTTCCTGTTGCAGGAGATCCCAGCAAACACCAGGCATCAAACAGGAGAAATCGTGGCATCTCAGATTGGAACTCAGCCCTCAGAAGACTGAGGAATATGGCTTATCCTTGATCCAAGTGCTGTCTGGGAGCGCCTTGGTATTGCTGAGGGACTGGTATGCCCTGAGGTCCAGCTTCTGGGTTCACATCCGGGTCCTGCTGGCTATTATCTTTTGACCTTGGGGAAGTCACTTGACCTCCTCGGACCGTGGGAAATCAGGGCTCATGATGGAACCCAGACCCAGATTTGATGTACACATTCCTGAGATAAACATGAACAGCCTGCGGCCTGGGGTGAAGAACAGTCTGCCCTTGGTCAGGGTGACACTGGTCAGCTGGTCGAGCAGGTGATGGGGACAATGCATCTTCAGTTCCCAGCAGTCAGTTAACTTCCAGCCTTTTCAGGGTCAGGGACGCTGCCTGCCAAGCTCTTGCTTTTCCTATCTTTTCATTGATAACGGTTGATAACTTAAGCCTCTAAGGAGAAACATTTGGAAATGTTCTGAGGTGGCCCCAGAAGCTAGTGGGGGGCGGGAATTCAATATGTGACTGGCTATCTGTAAGTAGCTTTGAATGTGTGAGTAGACAGAGATGCTATAGAAACATAGCCTTACCACCTGCATCTCTATTGCTGGTCAGTGCCATTTGGTGCCTCTGCCTGCTAGGGAGTCAAGGTTTTCTTAACCTGCGTGGAATGAACCCACAATATGGTTTTGCCATTGGTCCCAGGACAAAAAGACTTTGCACTGGGTACTTACTAATTTAATGGTGGGTTGAAGAATCTTGCCTTTGAGATTGGGCCTGCAGCTGCAGAGGGCATAGAAACTCCTTGGTCCGCAGCAGACATGGGCTGCCATGGCTATTCATTTCACTGACTCACCTGTGTTCTCCTGCCTCCAAGTTGGGGGGAGACGGGGTTAGAACTGCTGGGTGTTTGCCTGAAGAAAGTCTGGAGGAAAGGGGAAGGCAGCATAGACCTTCACACATTCCACTAGACTTTGTGCTTCTTTTAGGAGATTGTCTCTTAGGCACTAGAGAGCTGCCTATCACACTAAAGATTAGCCCATGGAAGAGGGGAATCAGATTTCAGGTACACAGTATCAGACTCTCCCCGACACTCCCACACTAGTCTTGAGGGAGCATTCAAACCAGTGAGTAAGTGGGCAATGAGGAAGCTGGTTTGTATCAACCTCCCAGAGCCGTTTGGATTCATTTGATGTTGGGCTATTGGGCCATCTGCTTCTGTCTGTCAGTGATGTGGCTGCCACTCCAGACTTCCAGAAAAGGGAGTTCAGGAAAGTTCCCTTTCCCTATTACTTGCGCCCCTAGGATTTGCTCTTATTCTTTGTTGGCAGTGACGACACTGTACTTATTGCAACATAAGGTCCCAAGGAAAAGGAATTTTTGGCACACTGAAGAAAGATTGTTGGCGTGTCAGAAGATATGGTGATTAAGTCTTGCCATGTCCATCTGAAGCAGACATGTAGACTTAGAAGAGGCCGAAACTTCTGGGTTCTTGGTTGTTTTAGACAGGATCAGTGGCTTCTAGGAAGAAGGGGAGGGGGTGGGGTTGTCTCATTTGTCTCTATAAAAGCGATATAAAAAATCTCAAAGTGTTCCCAAGGATTTTATCCAATGATAGGGTTATAGGCATGCCCACTGATTAGCCGAGACTGTCAGTACATCTTAGGTCATTTTTCAAATAAAAGACTCGTATGAAGAATAAATGCCTGAAGATAGCTTTTTCATTGGTAAAGAACCAAAGACACTGAGGTGGGACTCTCCCACTTTGTGGGTTCCTGAGATGTAAATTAATGCTTCAAGATCCTTGACTGGCCAACCTGTAGTTAGGGAAGGAAAGAAGCAAATTCTGATGGCAAGAATCACTGCCAAAAATAAACAGCAGCCATAGGAGATAGTGTTCTAGAACAGAAATCAAACTTTTTATGTAGAGGGACAGATAGTAAATATTTTAGAGCTGACTGGACCAATGGCAAAATCAAGGCTGTTCTATTAGTACTTGTATAATGAAGGGGAGCGGAACTTTCCACACCAAAATTTGTCTCTTTGACATAAGAGTCATTTTAGGCTGATTATATATTTTTTAAAGATTTATTTATTTATGTAAAAAAGAACTGGGGTACAGGCCAGAGGTGTTGGGGGGTGAGAGGATTCACCAGAGACAGAGTGGGGAGCAGAACAGGCAGACTGACTAAAATACACTGCTGAGTCTAAAGCCGAGGAACAAGTACCCCCCTTTACATGTCTGTCTGCTCCACAAGTCTTCCACTGTGTCTCTCTTCTGTCCTCTATCTTCACCTGGCTGCTCAGCTCTACCCTTCATTAGGTGGGGCAGGGAAACTGGAACCTCCCTTTTAATGGAAATTCCCTTCTGTAACACTTGTGTCCAGTTCCTTTACTTGGTGAGACTTGTGCTGGTCAGCAGCCCCACCCAGCCAATTTCTGGGAGTCCACACTGTATGTCTGGGCTCTGTAGCCCTCCAGACCACTATGTGTAAAACCTGGACCATCCAATCTAACACACTGCCTCTGCTGGCCTGGGCATTGGCTGCCAGTACCCTGGAGGCACTCTGTGTTTCGTTGAGTGCCTGCCAACTGTGGATGTGCCCTCAGACCTGCTGGTCCACATACCTGACTAGCCAGCAACAGTGAACAGGACATTTGAGCACCTCCCCAAGCACAGTATAATTTTTCCATAGACCGTCTGTGGGAAGTGACATGATTGCAGCACATCACTGCAGCTATTAGGGGCCAACCCCACTTGACAGTCATATTGTCAAGAATGTTACCCTCAGGAACCCACAATTTAAAAAAAAATCATATATTTTTTACATTGTTGTTCATTTTTGTGCAACGTTCGATTTCTCCTCTCAGGTATAATCCCTATAAAATTCCCACCACCAAGACACCTGTGATGATCCCCATATACTCTTGTGCTCTTCCCTTCTCTTTTTTTTAATGATTTTTTTTTATACAAATGCTGGGGTACAGGCCAGATGCGCGGGAGGGTGAGCGGATTCACCAGAGACAGAGTGGGGAACAGAACAGGCAGATTGACGAAACACACTGCTGAGGGGAGCAGCAGGCGAGACAGGAGAGATTAGCCGTGCCATGTGGGATTCTCGCCGGCCGGCAGGGATGGAACCACGCTGCAGAGGCTGTGGACAGCTTCACAGTGCGGCGCTCAACCACCTGCACCACCAGGGAGGCCCTTCCCTCCCCTGTTTTGACCCCCTCCTACTTCTCCCCTGCCGAATGTCTGCTAGTTTTGTCTTTTTTCTGATCCATTGTATGGTTTCCCTATAGGAACCTACCATTTCTATAGTTAATGGCCTCAGATAGAGGAAGAAGATGCTGTACTCTGAGGGACTCTGGGAAACCCTTTTCCTCCCCCAAATAACTTTCCCCCCTGGCTTATTTCTGTTCTCAAAAATCTGCAGTCATAAAATTATTCCTTCAACCAAGCATTGCCCCAGGGGAGGCCACACACTAATTTACTTTAGAAATCATAGTTGTTAGATATATTCATTTCATTAAAGGAATGTGGCATCTTAGGTATAAATGGTACCAACAGTGGAAGGCGGGCATTGCTGGAAAAGAATTTAGAAATGTGAAGGATCAAGATAAGACCTAGCTTTTATCAAATGCCTCCCACATGCCAGGCATTGTTCTGAGTGCTTTCTGGTGCTAACTCATTTACTTGTCACCACAACCCCAAGAAGTGGGTTCTAGCATCACCCCCATTTTACAGATGCATGAATGGAGGTTAAATTATTTACCCCAAATCACATAGCTGGTAAGTTGGAGTTCAAAGTTGGGACTGGAACCCATGTTTCTTGTTTTTCAGTATGAAATTGTCCTGGGGTCCCTTATACCACCTCCAGGACTCACCATATAATATGATTTATTATAGTGAAAGGACACAAAGCAAAATCGGTAAAGGGAAAAGATGCATGGGGTTAAGTCTGGGGAAAACCAGGAACAAGCTTCCAAGAGTCCATCCCGGTAGAGCCACATGGGACACGATTAATTCCTCCAGCAGCAAGTGATGGTAATGCATGTGAAGTGTTGTCTACCAGGGAAGCTCATTAGAGACTCAGTGCCCTGGGTTTTTATTGGGGCTGATCATGTAGGGACCAAGCATGTGTTCAGCATAAACCACTCTTGTCCAGTTTAGACACAGTGAGTCCCGCACATAGTCCTGGGAATGGTGGGGACCGTTCTAAAATCCAAGTACCTAGTCACTAGCCAAGGCCAACTTTGCAAACAGGTCTTTTTAAGGAAAGCAATCTCATGCTTGCTATGATCACTCTTTAATGCACAGATATCCTTCCCACTCACCACTGTTTTTGAAAGGGAACCATTTACATTTTCCCTTTTTCTATAAGGCTCAGTCCTTCCCATAAATCTCAGCCGGAATTCATGAGAGAATGCAAGAGGGCACTTAGCACAGCATTTGTCACATGGTAAGTATTCAGTAGATCTTGTCATCTTCACTGACTGCTCCCTGATTTTTTTTCTGTCAGTGGGAGCTGGTAACATGTAGGTCTGCTAGACTTAAACAGCCTCCTTGGCCACCATTTTGGTTAATTGCAGTCTCCCTCCAATACAAGGTCAGAACAGTCCGGTCCGTTATATGACCTAAAAGAATCTAGGATACCAGACCCTACAAGGCTCCTTTCAAATTGAACAAGAGCAGGGTGCTTGATTGTTCTGGGACAGTGGGTATGTATAATGAGCCATGATTGGGAACACCCAGGATGCTGTTGACTGATACATGACCTTATATTCCAGAAACTGATCAGGGGACTGCCATGTTGATAAGTTTGGAGCCATAGGTGGGGGTCTAGGGTATGATTTCTAATATAATAATGGATTATCAGTGTATGGTCAGCAGACTCATGGCCCCTGAAGCCCTCGATGAGATAAGCACCTTTTCAGTTTTCACCCACCTTTTCTTTTTGTTCTCCTACTCCTAGTAATTGATGATGTATGATTATTCTATCAATAAAAGACCAGGATCTTGCTCTTTCAGCAGCATCCTGTGTTATACAGCTTGCTCCATAGCTCCCTCTCTTTTCTTTATCAGTGCAGTTTTGTCAAAGCAACAATAACAAGCTTAAGTTAACTCTCAAGTAATGAATACATTTCCTGTCACCCCCTGTCATTCCCAGGTGGCCCCTGTCAAGTTGAGGTCAACATTTCCTCCACCGGCACGCTCCCCAATGGGACCCTTTATGCAGCCAAGGGCTCCCAGGTGGATTTCAGTTGCAGCAGCAGCTCCTGGCCTCCACCTATCGTTGAGTGGTGGTTCCAGGCTCCTGATTCCAGAACTGAGCCCTTTGGAAACAACTGGACTGCCAGCAGCTTCAAGCTGTTCCTGATGTCGCAGAACCTCCAAGGGAACTACACCTGTTTGGCCAAGAACATGCTCAGCGGGAGACATCGAAATGTGACCACCGAGCTCCTGGTCTACTGTGCGTAAGAAGCACTGCCTTCCCCCACCCCTCACCCTTCATGAAGTGCCTCCTCCTTTAAACTGCAGAGCATGCATGCTGCATGGGTTCTAAGGTGCTTCTGCAGCTCTCTCGACTCACACATCCATACCCAGGGGCTATGGCATGTTAGAGAGGGTGGTAGCGCTCCGAGAGACATGCTGTTCATAGGAGTACAGGAGAGTCCTTGTGATCCATAGGGAAATTAATACCAAGCCTGAGGCTTTCTTTCTTTTTTTTTTTTTTTAAGATTTTTTATGCATTTTTTATGCATAAGATTTTTTATGCATCTGGGTATAGGCCAGAGTTGGGGGGGGGGTGAGATGATTTACCAGAGACAGAGTGGGGAGCAGAACAGGCATATCTACTGAAATACCCTGCTAAAGGAGCAGCAGGCGAGGCAGGAGAGATCTGCTGCGCCATGTGAGTTAGCTCTCTAGCCAGGGATCAAACGCATGCTGCAGTGGCTGGCGATAGCTCGATAGCGCTGTCTTAAAACCCTGCACCATCAGAGAGGCCCTCTTTCTTTTTTTTAAAATGGAAGTGAAATTATATAACCTGACAGCCATTTTAAGATATACAAATCACAGGCACCGTGTACATTCCCAGTGTTGTACAACCATCACCTCTATATAATTCTAAAATGTTTACATCACCCCAAGTGGAAATCTTATACCCATTCAGCAGTCATGCACATCCCTACTTCCCCCAGCTCCAGCTAATAGCTAATCTGTGTTCTAACTCTCTGGATTTTCCTATTCTGGACACTTCATATAAGCGGAATCATACAATAGGGCCTTTTGTGAGTGACTCCTTTCACTTAGCATCTTGTTTTGAAGGCTCAGCCATAGCATGTGTCAATAGTACTTCATCCCTATTCATGGCTGAATAATGCTGATTGTTATCTCTTGTGTATTCTCCGCATCTATCAGGACTTGTTTTCTCTTTTCCTATCCTCATACATTGTATTCATAAAAATGGGCCCTCCAGTGCTCTTAAGAATCAGCAGTTCGTGGGAGTGAGGAAACAATAGCCAAATGCACCTTTACAGATTCCTTGGATGAGAACTGTGTACTCATAACTTATTCTAATGAAAGGGAGCATCAGAACAGCAAATTAGTGGGCAGGGTAATTATGCACTACTTAATACATGCGTTATTCAGCACCTTCACAAGTCTCTGTTCTCCATCATAAATAACATTTATTGGATATACCAAAGTTATATGTGCTTGTGATACAGATGAGTATAAAGTAGGAAATAATCACTTATGCTGTAATGATTATTTTGGTATATTTCTAACGTTTCTTGTCACATATCCAGCCACTTAAGAGTCAAGTTTATTTCCATTTGTGTGTCATATGACATATGTACAAATATATGACAATATACATACATAATATAATGGACATTTAAATATTTCTGAATTTATAGATTATAAATATATGGATTACATTGGCAATATAGGTTTATAACTTGTTAAATTTTTATGTGTTTTTAGTAATCCATGCACATAGTAAAAGAGAAGAATGTGTTGGAGGTGGGAAGGTGAATAAGTGTCTTTCCCACCTGTATCTCCCTCCAGGGACCAGCCCTGTCCAGTAAAACTTTCCATGATGATGGAATGTTCTGTTCCGTGTGGTTTAATACAGTAGCCACCCACCACGTGTGGTTACTGAGCACTTGAAATGTGGGTAGTGTGATGGAGGAACTAAATTTGTAATTAATTAATTAAAGTTTAAATAGCCACATGTGAGAAATTCGAAGATGAATGAGACTCCCCCAAACCCCTACCCCCACTGCCTTGAAGATTTAACACCTAACAGAGAAAACTTGACTATTACCAGGCACTACATTGTGCCAGGAGCTATTTAAGGTATGCTAACCGGTGTCGATGTTTCTCTGATACCCTGGTTCTAGAAGCCTTAGAGTCAGCCCAACACCTGGTCCCAGAGTCTGTGATTAAGCCTGTGTTCTCTGGTATTTTGCAGCCCCTCCGCCATCAGTCCCTCAGTGCTGGGCAGAGATGTCACCAGGAACATTCATGCTGCAGCTTACCTGTCGCTGGGACAAGGGGTACCCAGACCCTAACTTCCTGTGGACGGAAGAGCCAGGAGGTGTGGTTGTGGGGAAGTCTCAGCTTGGGGTGGAGAGGCTGAACCAGTCCCAGCTGTCAGATGGCAAGAAGTTCAAGTGTGTTGGGAGCCACATCGTGGGGCCAGAGTCGGGAACCAGCTGCATGGTGCAAATCAGTAAGTCTGGCCTGTCTGTCCCTGGGTTGGGATTCACCCACCTTCCTTTCTTTTGAAAGGACCGTTTGAAAGAAGATCTGGAAAAGAAATCCCAGAATCTCTACCCTTTCTTCCTTTTGCTTTGTTTCCTTTCTTTCAGACTCTAAAGACGTTTAACCAAGCTTCTTGGTCCTAGTCCAAGGCATTTTCACTTGACAGGTCTAAGCACCTGATATGCTGTTTCTAGGTACTGGAGATGGAGCAGTGAACAACACAAAGTTCATTTATTAGCTATTATCTTGTCACATAACAAATTGCCCCCAAACTTAATTGCTTAAAAAAATAATTTATTATCTCATCATTTCTGTGGGCCAGGAATTAGGGTGGGCACAGCAGAGATGGTTTGTGTTGGCTCCTTAATGCCTGGGATCTCACTGGAATATTCAGTTGGAAGGGCTAAAATCATCTGAAGGATCCACTTCCACTCACACACACCTGGCAAGTGCTTCCTCTACACGGCGGTCCCGCCACATTTCTGCCTGAGTGTCCTCATAGCCTGTGGCTGGCTTCCCCCAGTGCAAGTGGCAAAGAGGGAGCAAGCCAGGTAGATGTTATCCTTTTTATGGCCTAGCCTCAGAGATCACATAGAATCCGTTCTGCCCCATTCTGTTCACTGCAAGTGAAACATTCACTTTCAAGGGAAGTGAAGAGAACTAAGCTCCACTTTTTGAAGGGAGGAATTTCTGGACCTATTTTTAAAACCACAACCACTCCTCTTTCACAGAACATAAATTCTTCTGGAGGGGCATGGGGGTGAGAGCAGGACAGAAAGTCCCAAAACTGGGCCTCCCCTGGTGGCACAGCGGTTGAGCGCTGGGCTGTGAAGTTGCCCACAGCTTCTGCAGTGCTGGTTCGATCCCCGGCCGCAGGCCAGGGTCCCACATGGCGCGCAGACCTCTCCTGCCTCCCGCTGCGCCCCTCAGCAGTGTATTTCGTCAGTCTGTCTGTTCTGTTCCCCACTCTGGCTCTGGTGAATCCTCTCACCCTCCCACGCTTCTGACTGTACCCAGTGCTTGTATAAATAAACAAATAAATCTTAAAAAAAAAAAGAAAAGAAAAGAAAAAAAAGAAAGTCCCAAAACAAGTAAGGTAGGTTCAGAGAGGGGTAATTGGGAGAATAAAATGGAGGGTGTAAGAGTCTTTTCTAGGAAGAGCGCCCTTCCCCCTAGGAGGGCAAGGAGGTCTAGTGATGGTAATATTTTGAACTGAGATAGGAAGGACAAGCAGTAGCCGGCTGGTGGTGTGGGCTGAGGGTTCCTGGCAGACGGAACAGCAAATGCAAAGATCCTGCAGGGGAAACAACCTTGGCTTTTGAGGAACTGAGAGAAGGCCAGTGTAACCAGAGTGTCATGTGTGAAGTACTTTTGAGTCAAGTTGGGTGTTGTGGGCTCAACTGTATCTCCCCAAGAGATAAGTTCAACTCCTAACCCCCATATCTGCAGATGTGACTGCATTTAGATTAAGGGTGATTTTGCAGATGTGATCAAGATGTGGTCATGCTGGATTAGAGTGGATATAATCCCTCTTTATAAGAGATGGGGAATTTGGGCACAGACACTGAGGGGGGCTTTGACAAGGGAGGCAGAGATTAGAGTGATGCATCAGCAGGCCAAGGAATGCTCCTGATCACCAGAAGCTTAGAGAGAAACAAGATAGTTTCTCCCTGATAGCCTGCAGGAATAATCAACCCTGTTGCCACTTTGATTTCAGACTTCTGACTTTCTGAACTGTGAGAGAATAAATCTCTTTTATAAGCTTTGTTACAACAGCCTGGGGAAATAAATAAAATGGGTAAGCAAGGACCAGTGCCTGGGGGTTTTGTTGGCCTTGTGAGAGTTTTCTCACCAGTTTATCAGGATGATCCTCCAAGGTTAAACGGAGAGCATGAGCTCTGCTGTGCCAGAACATGCTTGTTTTCCCCAGCAAGTGACATTCAGATGGTTGACCCTTCCCACTGACTCATTCAGCAAACATGCCCTGTGAGTTCCCCTATCACTTGTGCTGTATCTGGCCTTGGGCCACAGGAAGGCCAAGACTTGCTTTCTACACTGCAGCAGGAGCTTGAAAACTCTGGTCCGTGGACCAAGCCACCCCACTGGTTTTTGTGCAAATTCTTTTTTTCATATAGGAAGATATATATTTATTTTTTTTTATTTCTTTGCAGCTTATTTTTTTTATTGAAGTAACATTGCTTAATAACACTATATAAGGTCTCAGGTATTCAGCCTCATATGTCAGCATCGTAAGTCACATCTGTAGATACGACATTGTTTTCCACCAGATGGAATTTTATTAGTGAGAGAGAATTCATGTAATATACACTTCACTATTTTACTGATTTTATTAGTTTAAAAATTATTTATGTATTTTTAACTCATTAGATCACCAATGTATTACAAAGGATGTGACTCAGGATTAGCTACATGGAAGAGATGTGTAGGGAAAGGTATGGCGGACTGGTACCGAATTCCCATGCCTTCTCTAGACGCACCAAACTCCTCCGGTATTCATTAACATGTCCACCAACCCAGAAGCTCCTAAATTACACCTCTTGCAGTGTATAATTGAGTGACTTTTAAGTATATTTATGATATAATATGGCCATGACTACTATCTAATCCCAGAACTTGTCCATCACCCCAAAAAGAAACCTTATACCCACAAGTACTCACTCCCTCTAGAAAAACTCATTTCCTGCTCTGCTCACAGACTTTGAGTGTTATCATTATTTAGTTTTTTTTTTATTTGTTCATTAAGATGGTATAATTGCGGGCCTCCCCTGGTGGTGCAGCAGTTGAGCGCTGGCCTGAGAGGCTGCCCGCAGCCTCTGCAGCGCCGGTTCGTTCCCTGGCCGCCGGCGAGGGTCCCACAAAAAAAAAAAAAAAAAAAAAAAGAAGATATGGTATAAATGCTTTAATTTGGGTTTCTCTAATCAAGATTGGGGTTGATAATTTTCATATGCTTTTTGGCTCCCTATATATCATCTGTGAATTATCTGTCACATCTTCCCTGTTTGTCTATTGGGTTATGCATCTTATTCTATATGAATATTTATTATTGTGTAGCTAATATAACGGGCCATGCACCTTACAGGTAATTTTCTGGTGTATTTTGCTCCTAACTATGTTGTGTAAACTGACTTAACCAAGATCACCAAGTTCGTTAGGGAATGAGCAAGCCAGAGGTGCAGGTGGTGAGAGGACTCACAGAGAGAGTGGGGAGCAGAACAGGCAGATGTACTGAAATTCACTACTGAGAGGAGTAGCGGGTGAGTCAGGAGAGGTCTGCTGTGCCTTGTGGGTTGCTCCCTGGCCAGCCATGTGCTGTGGTGGCTGGCAGTAGCTTGATAGCACTATCTTTAACCCCTGCGCCACCAGGGAGGCCCTGTGTACTCATTTTTATTTTTTATTTATTTTTTTTTTTAAATTTTTTTTTTTTTTTATAGAGGCATGTTTTATTTATTTGTTTGTTTGTTTGTTTATTTATACATGCACTGGGTACAGTCAGAAGCGCGGGAGGGTGAGAGAATTCACCAGAGCCAGAGCAGGGAGCAGAGCAGGCAGGAGGACCGAAGTACACTGCTGAGGGGAGCAGCGGGCGGCAGGAGAGGTCTGCGCGCCATGTGGGACCCTCCTCAGGTGGCCGGGGAGCAGCCGGGGATCGAACCAGCGCAGCAGAGGCGGCGGGCAGCTTCGCAACCCAGCGCTCAACCGCTGCGCCACCGGGGAGGCCCATCTGTGTACTCATTTTTAAATTATGGTTAAATGTGGCTATAAACAGAAGCCTTTGGCATAGGCGTAACAAGATGGCCTCCCTGGTGGTGCAGGCGGTTGAGTGCCGTGCTATGAGGCTGTCCGCAGCCTCTCCAGCGCGGATTCGATCCCCACCAGCCAGTGAGAATCCCACATGGCACGCAGCAGACCTCTCCTGTCTCGCCCGCTGCTCCCCTCAGCAGTGTATTTTGTCAGTCTGCCTGTTCTGTTCTCTGCTCTGTCTCTGTCTGGTGAATCCTCTCACCCTCCCGCGCATCTGGCCTGTACCCCGTTCTTGTATAAAAATAAATAAATCTTTAAAAAAAAAAGAGAAAAAAAAGAAGTAACAAGATGGACTCCAGAGTCCAGCTACTCAGGTTCAAGATTTTCTTTAGCACTGAAAGTCCATGTCTCAGGAACCCCCTCAGTCTTGGGCGAACCAGGAGAGTTGGTCACTCTAAATCCTAGTCACATTACTTATTAGTTTTGATTTTGAGTAAGTACTTCCTCTGGGCCTCAGTTTCCTCATCTGCAAAATGGGAATAATGACAGGGTTATTGTGAGAACTAGTTGGGTTGGTGTATAACCTTGCCTCACCTAGCATAAATGTTTGGTAAAGGTTGAATTCAGTGATTGCAGAAGACCAGCTGTAGTACAGAAATTCCCGGAGTTGTTTCGTTAAGAAGAAGATACTATTCCTAGAAATCATCCATGGCTGTGGCTGGAATCCCCTTAAATATTTGTATGGTGTTTTTTTTTTTTTTTTTTTCACCTTCTGATCACCAGGGAGCCCCTCCATTCTCTCTGAGCCCATGAAGACGTGCTTTGTGGGGGGCAATGTGACATTTACCTGCCAAGTGTCTGGAGCCTACCCCCCTGCCAAGATCCTGTGGCTGAGGAACCTCACCCAGCCCGAGGTGGTCATCCAGCCCAGCAGCCACTATGTCATCACCCACAATGGTCAGAGCTCCACCCTCACCATCCGGAACTGCTCCCAGGGCCTGGACGAGGGCTACTATGTCTGCCGGGCTGAGAACCCCGTTGGGTTGAGAGAGGTGGACATCTGGCTAAGTGTGAAAGGTGAGTGAGGTCCCAAAGGAGGAGGCTGTAGAGGTTCAGAAGACCTGGCACCAGCAGCCAGACAACTTGGTGCTTCCCTGCATGTGGGCCACTGCCAACTTGGAGAAGGCACAACTGTCTGCCTTGACAAGGTGGATAGGAAAACTTATTGCTTAGTCCTAAACCCCTAACATTTGCACAGGGACAAAAAAAACTTAAAAATAAGTAACCTCAAATTAAAGTTGTGAGGAATAATGCCAAAAAGAACCTTCAAGAATCTACCATCCCACTTAAGATATAAAACACCCCAGCATTGCTGAAGTGGCTTATCTTCACAGTGTGGCCTGATTTGGGATGTTCCATTCTGTTAAGAATGGAAATTGGTAAAACAACAAAAAGTTAAAAAATAAAACCAAACATTGAATATTCACTTACCTTTGCGTTTCAGAAAAACAAGCATACATAGCATATGTATGTCCCAATATTCCATTGGATATGCTTATTCTAAAAAGTTATCCGTTGCTTCTCTGAAACCCAAATTTAACTGGCATACTGTATTGTATCTGGCAATCCTGCCTTTGGCCCCCTGTCTAGTCTCATCCTGGGCCCCTGAAAAAAGTAACCACTGTCCTGAACTTCATGTTTTATTTAAGAAAAATGTTACTACACAAATATACATTTCTAAATAATTTATTATTTGGTTTTATTTAAGAGTTTCAAAAATGGCTGTTACCACATAAATGTAGTCTTTTGTGACTGGCTTTCATTCCACATTGTTTGCAGCATTTATTTATGCCAACATGTATAATTCTACTTCATCCCTCCTTATCACTATATAATTTTCCATTGTGTCACTATTCTGCAACTGAGTTACTGATTTTTTAAAAAATTTATTTTTATTTATTTGTACATACAAGAACTGGGGTGTAAGCCAGAGGTATGGAGCGGGGCTTGAGAGGATTCACCAGTGACAGAGTGGGGAGCAGAACAGGTGGATCTACTGAAATACACTGCTGAGGGGAGCAGCAGGTAAGACAGGAGAGGTTTGCCGTGCCATGTGACAGACCAGCTCCCTCCCCAGGTATCCACAGTGGCTGGCGATTGCTTGATAGCACTGAGACTTTAATCTCTGTGCCACCAGGGAGGCTCCTGGGTTACTGATTTTCTTGCTGATGGATGTTTATGTGGTTTCTGATTTTGTTGTGATCAACACCATTGCTGTGAGATCTTTTACCCAGTTCCTGTGTACCTATATACACCAGTTTCCTAGGCAAATATTTATCTAGGAAATTTACACTGAGTAAAAATGAAGGGTTATAGGTTATGAACATTTTTATCTTTATGAAGTAGCCACCAAGTTCTTTTCCAAAGTAGTTTTACCAATTTCCATTCTTAACAGTCTGTGAGAGTCACATTGTTCTGCATTTTCACCTACAGACTATGTGATGTTTGCCCATCAAGTAGGTTTTAAATGGAATCTAGGTGGGCCTCCTTCATGGTGAAAGGGGTTAAGTCTCAGCATTATGAAGCTATCCGCAGCCACTGCAGCATGAGTTCTATCCCTGGCCAGGGAGCTGACCCACATGGCACAGCAGACCTCTCCTGACTCACCCTCAGCAGTGTGTCTCAGTAGATATGCCTGTTCTGTTCCCCACTCTGTCTCTAGTAAATCCTCTTGTTCCCCCTCCGCCCTCCCCCCACCCCACACCTCTGGCCTACACCCCGGCTCTTGTATCCATAAATAAATAAGATTTTTAAAAAAATAAATGGAATCTAGGTGTGGCTCTACTTTGAATTTAGCTGGTTATTAATAAAGTTGAGCATTGTTTCATATGTTTATATGCTATTTATGTTCCTTTTGTGAAACACTTGTCTTTTGACATTTCCCCCCTTTTTCTTAGATTTATAGGCATTCTTTAGAGATTCCACATACTAATTCCTGGAAACCTTTGGGTGTCACAAATATCTCCTTTCAGTTTGTTGTTTTTTTACTTTATGGTCTCCTTTGACTAGCAAACATTTTTACTTTAATGTTGATTTTATGACTCATTAGCAGTTTGTAAGAATTTCCTGAAAGGTCCATGTTTATCCCATGGTCACAAAGATATTCTCTTACATTTTCTTCTAAAATTCAACATTTTGCCTTGTGCAGTTTAAATCTTTAATCCATCTAAAATGGATATTTGTGAACGGTGTGAGGTGGGGATCGACTTTCTCTGCACCTCCCCGACCCACTTCCCAGGCCAATTTGGATAACCACTTGTTACAACACCACTCTCCAATAGTTCCCTCTTTTTAATCACTAAAATCTCATATATCGAGTTTTCTTTTATGTGTGGTCTGTTTTTGGATTCTCTATTCAGTTCCATTGATCACTGTTTATTTGTGTCACCGTTAATTCATACTCTTAATTACCATACTCTGATAAATCGTCATGACGTGTGGTGGACACAGAGATTTTAACTTTCCAGTGTACTTTTGTATCACATGCTTCATTTGATTCCCACTGTCTGAGGGAAGGAGATGAGATAACTATCATACTTTACAGAGAGGTCACATGCCTTGTCAAGATAAGACTTTGACCCACACAGTGGAGGCGGGAAGGATTCTCTTAGTTGCATGTGTTAGCAGTGGACTTGCCAATGGTGTGATTTGTCTTTGTAGAACCTGTAAACATCGGGGGAATTGTGGGAACTATCGTAAGCCTTCTTCTGCTGGGACTGGCCATCATCTCAGGGCTTATTTTGTATTACAGCCCCATGTTCTGCTGGAAAGGTATGAACTTCTTGGGTGGCCCTGCTTTTCTTTCTGGCTTCTTGCTGGGGAAAGGAAAGCCCTGTTATGCTCCTACCTGAAGTCCCTTTCCATAGGCTTCCTCCTTGGGTCCAGGTGTACAGTCATGAAGCACCCACATACCATTCTTGAACACCCTGATTTCTTTCACGTTTGGGTCAGTTTTGTGTCCGTTCTTTTGTAAATGGGAGATTGATTAAAAACTTTTATGAGCTGAAGTGGATGTTATTGGATATTAATTTTTTTTTCCTTTCTCCCCTCAGTGGGACGCACTTTCAGGTGAGTTTTCCCTGCACTCAATTAAAAAAAAAAAAAAAAACAAAACAGCATTTCCATGAATCTGTCTTTACTGCTGTTCGTTTCCTTTCATAAGAATAATAAGTAACCACGACTGCTGACCCACCACATATCAGATCCTGGGCTAGTTAGGCACATATGAAGCCTTTCATATACTCTCTCGAGTGGTAGTAGCATCTCCATGTTCCAGACAAGAAGATGGAGGCTCAGTAAAGTGATTTTGACAAGCTCCTCTGAGGAGTAAACAGCAGTGCCTGCATCAGATCCAGGTCTGACTGATCCAAAGTCTGCTCTTTTGGCAATGCCAGACCTCAGGGTGGGCACATTGCTGGGCTGCCATTGGGGCATAAAGACAGTGTGTATGTGTTGAGCCCAGTCACTCATGCATTTAGTTTTTCTAACTTTCTAAACAGAACTAAAAGGAAAAACAAGACGTAGTCTTTTTTTTTTTTTTTTTTTTTAAAGATTTATTTATTTATACAAGCACTAGGTACAGTCAGAAGCACGGGAGGGTGAGAGAATTCACCAGAGCCAGAGTGGGGAGCAGAATAGGCAGAAGGACCGAAGCACACTGCTGAGGGGAGCAGCGGGCGGCAGGAGAGGCCTGCACGCCATGCGGGACCCTCCTCCGGTGGCCGGGGAGCAGCCGGGGATCGAACCGGTGCCGCAGAGACCGCGGACAGCTTCGCAACCCAGCGCTCAACCGCTGCGTCACCAGGGAGGCCCAACAAGACGTAGTCTTATAGCATGTTTTGGAAGACTAGTCTTGAGCAGGCTTAGAAGCCTTGTCCCCAAAGTAGAGGCAAAGTTACTAAATAGAATTTGTGTGTTTCATTTCCTAAGGAGATTCTGGGTGGGAATGCAGAACTCTTCTTTGTGACCCTATGGAAAAACAGTCCTCATTTCCTACTCAAAATGATGGGCTGTCATCGGGGCCATCTTCCATGGGAAGACATTACTTTCACTGCCCTTTATTTCAGGGCCATTCTCTCAGTGAGTCTGTCACTCCCCAGGCTTATTCCTCACAGGAAGTCACTGTGGAAAAAGGTGTTGGAATTAGTAGACCTGGATGCTCCACTATTCCTAAGTCCTGTGCTAATGGAAGACCCCTGAGTCTCTCTGAATCTTGTCATTTGTTTCAGAGGAGGGCTGTGATGATTACAGGAGAATGTAATGCTTTTAGGACTGTGACTGGACCATTGCATGTATTCTTCCTTAAGAAATGTGTATTATAGCTGGCCAGGCAAAACTAGCAATAAACTAAGAGCTGGGCATGGATTCCAAATGCAATGGTAGTTTGGGGCTTCAGGGGGAAGGAGAGGAATTTTTTACCTGGGTTTTAAATAATGAGAAGAAAGAGAAATTTCAGTGGTGGAGCAGAAATAAGGGCATTTCAGGAAAGGAACAGAGGAGGGGTGTTGAAGGAGGGGGATTGAAGTGGTGGATGCTTAGGATAAGAGTCATCTACTTAAGGAACAGGGCTGAGGTGGGGTGTTGTGTGTGGCAGTATCTCTTGAGTGGTTACAATTGCACTGTCAGGCCCCAAAGCCAAGTTGAGTGCTTGAAGAATTTGTCATGTTACGAAAAGGGTTGCAAAGGATCTAGTGTTTCCTACTTAGGGAATGCTGAAGTTGGAAAAAGAGAGGATATCTTCTTGATTATTTCCCCCCCTTTGGAAACTAGGAGGCAAGACATGGGTGATGTCATGGTTTTGGTGGACTCGGAAGAGGAGGAGGTGGAAGAGGAGAAAGATGTTGCAGAAGAGGAGGAAGAGGAAGCAAACGAGAGGGTGGAGTTGCCGAAAGAAGTTCAAAAGCACAGCCACATTCACAGAGTGACCGCCCTGGTCAACGGGAACATAGAACAAATGGGCAATGGACTGCAGGCGCTGCAAGGTAAGTGCCTTTCCCTTAAAGGAGCTCTGCTAGGTTGCCGTGAGCTTCCCAGTAGCAAATCTCTAAAGGGCGAATTTGGTTTGTTAAAGGCTGAGGAAGATAGTTCAAGGTTAACCTAAAACCTCAGAGCCTGCTGTCAACTGCTGGTACAACAGTGAAACTGATGAATATTTATCAAGGCCTGCTGCAGGCTAGAGAAGAAAGATTGGTAATTCCTGCATGCAGGGGGCGTTACTAAACCAGTTAGGGGGAACAGAGTAAAATGTGGGGGAAATGAAAATGGAAGTAAGATTTAACCAACATTTTGAGAGCAGTAGCAGAGCTGTTGCAAGGAGCAATTTGACTAATTGACTGATAAATGCTACATTAAAAAATCACAGAACCACGGGGAAGACAAGAACCTTGAGGGGGTATGTTGGTCAGCAAAAGTTTTATGGAAGAAGCAGATGTGAGGTGAGTCTTGAAGGAGAGTTGAGCTTGGATAAACAGAAAGGAGAGGAGGCATTCCAGGTGAGGGGGTGCTGTGAGCCAAGAATGTGACCGGTAGACAGCACCTGGGTGTCTGGAGGGTTCTGAGTGGAAAGCACAGGTATAAAGGGAAACACACCCAGCTGCATTTGCTCCTCCATGAAATGCAAATCCAGGGCTCACCAGTAAAGAACCAGGAAATCAGGACAATTACGTTAAAGGCTGATGGACGTACGTACAGTCACGTCTGTTGAGATTGCTCAGGGATGGGTCTATTCCCTCCTGTACAGACGACAGCGGTGAGCAGCAGAGTGACACGGTTCAAGACGACGACAGGCCGGTTTGAAGAAAAGAACTGCACTTCATCGTCCTCTTACAAGCTTGGGAAGCTACGTTGAAGATGAGCTTTTTATTCTGCTTTGACTTGACTTAGCACCCCTACCTGAGGGCTTACAATGGCTTGGGGCTTTCAGCAAAAAGGACACACACACACACACACAGAAATTTCCTTCCTTTTTTAAAAATTGGTTTCATTTTGCTCTAAGTTTTTTCAATAATGTTAAAAAGCTTTGGGAATGGGCAGTGTGTTCGGTGTGCCCCCCAACTCTCTGTGATTTCTGACTTCATCCATGTGACTGACATCTGTTTGGAGTGGGGAGTGCACTTGACCTCAGTGCCCTTTGCCACTCTTAAAGGTCTGTAACCAGCTTGCCCCAGCACACGAGGGAGTAGTGTGCACACGAGGGAATAGTGTGGGGTGATAAGGCCGCTTCCTTTATCACGTCCCAGATGGGCTGAGGAGCCAGACAAATGATGGAAGAGCCCCTGGAAAAGAGAAAGAGCTGCTCGTGAGCCACAGTGGTCAGACAATGGCAGTGTGTTTGGTTTTGGAGCCAGAACCACCCAAACTGGAATCTGAGTCCTGCTGCTTGTTTCGTGGACTTGGGCAAGTTGCTCTGTCTCTGTTTGGGGCCTTGATTTTCTTATCTATGTAAGAGGTGAAATCACACTACCTTACAGGGTCGTGGTGGGGACAATACAAGGACCTTTGGGATGTATAAGCATCTCAGTGGAATGTTAGGTCTCTTTGCCTTCGCCTGCCCTCCTGGAAGAAAACCCCTCACCTGTAAGTTACCAGCCGCTGCCTGGGCCTTTTATTTTTCTTTGTAGGATGGTTTCAGATGAGGGCATTCTCAGAGCTCTCCTGAATGATTTTTGCTTCCTTGAAGGTATCATTCTTTCTAATGAGGTGGGGGCTAACAAGAGGAAGTGCCTTTCAATAGAACCTCACACTTTGCAGTTTTGTGTTTATACAGAAGCCTTTTAGGTGTTGCACTATCAGTATTCAGCCTCCCCATTCTGCCTTTCTCCTGAGGCTTTGAAGGAAAGCAGGAGAAATGTTTTATACCCGAGTGTCTGGGGATTAAGTCCTCCTTGGGCAGACCAGTTCCTCTGGCCTGTGTCTCCATCTTGGAAATAGGAATGGAAAAATTTATTTCCTTCCTGCTTCTTAAGGATTATGAAGATGCACTGATCAGTAATACTCAATATCTAATGAAAATAACACATTGATGAGCATTTAGCTGCTGATGCATTAGATCCTTGTACAGTGTAGAGTTTTTTTCCCTGGCTTTTATCCAAACCTCTTAAATGTCAGGGACTTATAATGGTGCAGAAGCTGTGTGCTAAACATGAAAATCTGACTTGAATTTACACTCCTTAATGTTGCATATCTTGCTCAGATGGGCCATACCTAGAACTTTACTTCTCCAATAACAAGGACTGAGATTCCTAAGATGAGAAGTCGGTTGTGTGCACGGTTAACCTGCAGGTGTGATTGGGGGAGATGTGCTTTTCTTGGATGAAGGGACTAGGGGCTGAGCAAGTTACTAAAAGTAAGCCCTGTCGTCTGTCCCCCCACCCATCAGAATACTGGGGAGCTGGCTGTACTTTGCACCCCTCAGGACTAGCTGTGAACTGCAGGTCTCATTATTGGGTCTCTTGCTGCTCTGTACCTCATGTACTTAACCACTCTACCCAGTCTAAGGGAGTATCCTTTCCAAAGGGAGTACTTTTAGACCGGTGGCTTTTAAAGTTACTGAATACAGACCTAGTCTCTTTAGAATGTTCCATGATTAATAGTTCCTGAATTTGAGAATCCTTTGTGCAGAGGCAACTATATTTCAAAAAAGATGGCCTCCCCGGTGGCGCAGTGGTTGAGCGCTGGGTTGCGAAGCTGCCGGCGACCTCTGCGGCGCTGGTTCGATCCCCGGCTGCTCCCTGGCCACCTGAGGAGGGTCCCACATGGCGCGCGGACCTCTCGTGCCGCCCGCTGCTCCCCTCAGCAGTGTACTTCGGTCCTTCTGCCTGCTCTGCTCCCCGCTCTGGCTCTGGTGAATTCTCTCACCCTCCCGCGCTTCTGACTGTACCCAGTGCATGTATAAACAAAACAAACAAACAAAAAAAAAGAAATGCAGGGGGACATCCTGGCTGGGAATGCAGTGAAGGATCTACAGCACCACTGAGATGCTTTCCACAGCTTCCTCTTCTCTTGTGAATACACCTGATGATAGGAGAGGCAGGGTTTTTCCAGTAGCAAGTGGGAGTTTCAAGGTCTCTTTGGGAAATACATTAACCCCTTTTGCGGTTGAGCGGTGACTGCCCTCACTTATGTTTGGGCCCTGTATGAACATTAACATGTCTGGGTCAGTTAAGAGCTAGGTCCTGGGGGGGGGGTCTCCAAGTTTTTAGGATTTTTAAAGAACTAGGGCTTTTCTCCTTTAAAATGACCCATTTCCCAAGTCCACAGTTAGCAGGCTTAGTGTTGCAAAGTCCAACTTGTCACATTCTGCTTTGAAAAAGTCTTACTTGAATACATCCTGAACTCTAGAGACCAGGAGGAGTTCGCCTTATCAGAACAAGGAACATATAAAAACTTCAGGGCTATTACGTGTTTCCTCAAAACCTGTTAGATATTGGGGAAGGGTGTCCCACAATCCTGTGGCTTTGATAGTAGTTTCCGTTCTCACAAGCACATACAGGCTCTGTCACTGCAGCAGGAAAATGCATGATCAAAAAATTTCCATCACCCATGCACTAGGACCTGGAAATTTATCCTTGCTGGGGAAGATCTATCATGATGCAATAAGTGCCAACCGATGATATTTCTCACCATGGGACTGGCTAGGATGTGCTGCAAGAAAAATAAGCAGACACCTCTGCATTATTTACATTTTAGTATTGGCATAGGGGTGGTTTAGGAAAAAAAATGGTTCTGAGGTTATAAAATGGATTTTCTAAAAAAGATTCTGGAATAAAGTTATTTTTAAATAAATGCTTCAATGATATTGATTTAGACCTTATTAGTAAACAAAGATTTAGGGAGGGGCCTCCCTGGTGGCACAGGGGTTCAAGACAGCGCTATGGGGAAACAAGATTTGCCTCCCACAATTTGTTTTAATAGCTTTCCCAATATTGGTAGTGATACCGTCCGCCTCGCCATTTTTTGTAACTTGTAGATCCGCCTACTGAGACACCCTCGCTTTGCCTAAGCTCCCCGAGAGAGAAACTTGTTCTTCCTTTTTTTTTTTTCTACCTGCCTATCCTCTAACACTTGTCTTTGGCATCAGCCGGTGCTTCCCACATGAAAGAGCTGGGATAGGTGTCAGAATTAGTGGACTGTGGGCACAGGCAGTTTGTCAGCTGCCCCGTAGCTGCTGGTGACTGTGGGGTTTCTCTCTGGGCCCAGCTAACCCTGGTCCCCACAGTGTCGCACTCCACTGCCCAGGTGGACTGGCTCAGTTGCATTCCTCGTGCCTGTTCCCTGCCCTTTATCTGTTTCTCTCCAAGCACCCGGCTGTTCAATCACAGCTGCCCCATTTTAACCTCCTTTTCCTTCTCATCAAACTCTTGCTCTCTCCCTTAAACCCAGTTTCCCATCTTCTTTCTAACCCAGCCCCTCCATTTCAATGTCTGTTTCATATAATACAAGCCTGTTTTTTGGGCCTCCCCCCACCCCCCATTTTACCTGTTTTCACTTCTGTTCCTTCCTGTTCAGGAGCTCCTTACCCACCCTCTCTGGCCTCTGGCTGCTCATGTCCCCTCCATGTTTACTTAGCCTGCCCAGTTTTGGGCCCCCACGTTTTTGATCTCCCCCTTTCTCACTGCCTATTTTAACCTTGGCTTGTTGCATTTCCCACCGGGTTATTCTTTATCTGGTCTGCGTTTTATCACCAGCTGGCCCACCTTTTATCACCAGCTTCTGTTGGTCTCCACCTCTGCGCCCGTCCAACCTCTGGTGCACCGGGTCCTCATGTCCCCCCCAGTTTTATTTTCCAGCCTCAGCATTTCCTCTCGGACCAGGTGTTCTCTGACCCCCAAACCCATTCTCCCAAATCCCCCAGTTCCTTCAGGTTCTCATTTTTATCCCACGGTCTCCTTCCGACTGCTCCCCAGTGTTTTCACCTGGTTCCCACCTTGTTTCTCCCAGTCCCACCCACCCCACCCCGGGTCTTCTTGGCTCCCCGCTTCTCCCATTAGCGGTGCCCCCTCTTTTTTTCCCTCAACCCTGCTCCCCCGTTCCCACCCCCCACCTTTTTTTAACCCATCGACCCCCACCCCCCCGCAGCTAATAGCCGACTCGAGTTCCCTTTGCTCCCAGTTCCCCCTCAGCTCCCCTCTAAGGAACTCGGGATTTCACCCCCACGCCCATTCACCCCGTTTTCCCAGCCCTGTTTCACCTGATGCCGGGAGGGGGAAGCGTTTGACCGGCTCTCGCACCGCCTCCCCCAAACCCCGTTTTCTCTCAGTTCCGCTCCGGCACACACCCCCCACCCCTCCCGTTTATATCCTACCCGCGTTCTATCCTGTCCGCGTTGACCTCCATTTCCCCGACCCCGTCTTTATCCCACCGGCGTCCACCTCCTTCCCCCATTTTTTCGCGCATTCACCAAACCGCCCCCTGCCTGCTTCTCCTCAGCTCCCCCCACCCCGATTTTATCCTGCCGGCGTCCACCGCCATCCCCCCTCCAATTTTTATCCCACCTGCGTCCACCTACCCCCACCCCGCCGCGTCCCCTCAGCCCGCGCCCCCTCCGCGCGCTTTATTCACCCCGGTTTCCCCTCAGCCCCGCGCCCCCTCCGCGCGCTTTATTCAGCCCCGTTCACCCCCGTTTCCCCTCAGCCCCGCGCTTTATTCAGCCCCGTTCACCCCGGTTTCCCCTCAGCCCCGCGCCCCCTCCCCGCGCTTTATTCAGCCCCGTTCACCCCGGTTTCCCCTCAGCCCGCGCCCCCTCCCGCGCTTTATTCAGCCCCGTTCACCCCGGTTTCCCCTCAGCCCGCGCCCCCTCCCCGCGCTTTATTCAGCCCCGTTCACCCCGGTTTCCCCTCAGCCCGCGCCCCCTCCCCGCGCTTTATTCAGCCCCGTTCACCCCGGTGTCCCCTCAGCCCGCGCCCCTCCCCGCGCTTTATTCAGCCCCGTTCACCCTGGTGTCCCCTCAGCCCGCGCCCCCTCCCGCATTTTATTCTGTCCACGGCCCCCCCGCCCCGCCGCGCTCCCCGCAGCCCCGCGCCGCCTTCCGGCGCCTTCCCGCGCGCCCCCCCCGCCCGCCGGCGCCCCCGGCCCCGCCCCCGCGCCCCGCCCGCGCCCGCCGCCATGTGACGGGAAGCAGCTGATGGCCTCTCCCGGCGGCGGGCGCGGCGAGGCCGGGGCGGGGGCCGGGCCGGGGCCGGCGCGGGGGCGGGCGGCGCGGGGGCGGCATGAGGGCCCACGGCCCGGGGGGCTGAGGCGCCCGCCGCCTGCCGCGGGGCCGCGCGTGTCCTCCATGGAGGCCGGAGGTGAGTGGGGCCCGGCGCGCCGGCTGCTGCCCGGAGGGGCCCGGCCGGCTCTCGCGGGGAGGGGGAGCCCGGCTGGGGCCCTCCACGCGGGCCGGCGGCGGGGTGCGCGCTCGGCGCCCAGCTTTGTTTCACTTTCGCTGTCAGTCGCCGCCACCGGCTCTCCGGCCGCGGACCTGACTGGGGGGCACCGGGCCTTTGCGTGGCGAGGGTCCCCACCTTCCGGAAAATAGTGGGGGGCGCCGGGGGCCCGGCACTTACACGCGCCCGGGTGGGACGCGGGGTGCGCCCCGCCCTCACAGGGTACTGGGGAGGGGGGTGCCAGCTGCCAGGTGACGCCCTCGCAGGTCTGGGTGGGAGTCGGCCGTGTCCCTTCCAGGCTGATCCGGGGTGGGGGCGGACGACCCCCTTGGCCACCCTCGCTCATCCCCTCAGTTTTGTGGCGGCAAAATGGGATCATAATAGCGCGGGTCTCCGCGGTGTGGGGCGCCTCCCCGACTTGCCTAGGGATGAGAATGGGGGCTGAGGTACCTCTGAAATATATTCGGAGCCTCTCCCCCTGGAGACGGATGCAGTGGCGTGGGGTGGGGCTTTGATGCTGCAGGCTGTTGACACGAAGGATAGGTAGGGCAAGTTTGGGGTACACGGAGAGGTGGGGCCCTGGGCTTTATCCTCCTTTGCAGCTGTCATCAGGAAAATGGAAATCAGAGCACCCTGGATCTACTTGGGGGGCCGCCCAAGCGAACATACCGGCTCTGTGGGGAGGTAGCCCCTCAACCCCACCAGTGTAGAAATTTGGGGTGGTGGGCTTGGCGCCCTCCTGGGATTCCCAACTCTTGACTGTACCCCCAACTCTTGACTGTACCCCCCTGCTCAAAGGCAGTTTGCCTTTGGGAAAAGCCTCTGAAGGGGTCAAGGCCTAGGGCTCAGAATTTGTTCTAGAACATTCACTTCCAGTGAAGTTCAAGCTTCATCCTGGCCTGGAGGATTCTGATGGCTGGTGTTTGTTTCCCAGGCTTGTTTGATCTAGCCGGAATTGCTGGTGGGTAGGTTCAAATCAGGGTATTCCCTCGGGTGGTGTAACTTTTTAATTTGGGAAACGACATTTCTTTGTTTGCTAGAGTCAGGCAGTTAGTAAAAGGTGTTGAGAGGCTCGCTCTTGCTTCCCATCTAGATAAGGGCTTTCTTTTCAGCGTGTCACCCATAGAACTCTTTTAAATGGCCCTTACTGTTTGACTTAACTTTTTTTTATAGCTTCCACGGTCCTTTCCATTCCTGCTTTATAGTAAAATCTGAAAGAGGTCCCGTGACCAGTCTCCTTTTTTAGCAGGAATATGTTTCCAGTTCTGGGAGTTATTCCTAATGATTGACGACAGTGTTCTGGGGTGTGGGCAGAGCTGTCTGAGGGTTGCCAAGCTACTGATTTTTAAAAAAAGAAAAGGCCATAGTTTTACATTCTTTTGAAACTGAATAAAGCCTATTGTAATGGTATTACAATGGACAATAGTAGATACCTTCAAAACAGTGATTAGAATGTATTTATTCAATCAACAAGTATTTATTGAGTGTCTACTATGTGCCAGGCACCCACTTGTCCAGTGCTGGCCAATAGAAATATAATTGTGAGCCATGACCATAATTTAATGTCCTATATCATATATTATCATATATATACACACACGTGTGTGTGGAGATGTAAAATAAATATATATATATATGGCCTATATAATATCCAAGTAGCTGTGTTGAGCACACAGATACAATTAATTTTGAAACTATCATTGTCAGTTCAACACAGGCTAATAATATAACATGTTGATCAAAAATTATTGAGATATTTTTTAGGGCCTCTGATGGTCCAGGGGTTAAAGTCTCAGCCAACCACTGTGGCAAGAGTTCGATCCCCGTCCAGGAAACTGACCCACATGGTGCAGCAGAACCTCTCCTGTCTTGCCCACTGCTCCCCTCAGCAGTGTCTTTTCAGTAGATCCACCTGTTCTGCTCCCCACTCTGTCTCTGGTGAATCCTCTCACCCCCTGTATCTCTGGCCTCCACCCCAATTCTTGTGTGCATAAATAAATAAAAATAAATCTTTTTAAAAAAATTAGAGATAGTTTAGATCCAATATTTTTGTGCTAAGTCTTCAGAGTCCAGTAGTTTATTTTTGACAGCCTACCTTAATTGGGACTTGCCATATTTGAAATGGTCAGTAGCCCCATGTGACTAGTGACTACTGTATTGGACAGCACAGCCCAAAGGCAGAAACGGGCAGCTTTGGGATGGGGGTGCGGAAGAGATAGACAATAATACATAAAAACAGGTACGCAGTCCAGAAAATCTGTGAATGCTGCTTATAAAGAAAATTAAATAAGTGAAAGGAAAATGACTGGGCCACTTTAGAGAATGAAGCCAGGAAGGTCTCTGAGAAGCTGACATCAGGCAGCCCTCAATGGTAAGATGGGGCAGCCTGGCCAACCTCGGGCTCTGGCCAGGCAGAGTTTTCCAGGCCAGTGGGACATTTAATGTGAAGATCCTGAGGCAGGACAAACCACTGACCTTCTTGCTGTTGGAGTCATAGCTTGCCTTTCTGGCCTGAGGTGATCTTCTTTCACAGAAGAGGCCATAATGTCTTTTCGCTCAGCCTGATTGTCCAAACATTTCCCAATGCTTGACTAGAAAACCCTGATCCATAAGACCTTTCACCAGGAAGAGCCACTGCAAGTAAAATCCCAGATGGAATTGGAGCCTCTTGGCGTGCTCGCTCGCTTTTTTTTTTTTTTTTAAAGTTTTGCACTAATTATGGCTTTCTTTTCCAGCAGCCAAGTTTAGTTTGGGCCCAGCTTCTCTTCAGAATTTCTTTAGTTCTAGAAATGACGAAACAGGAGTCTCTGGGCTCTTTCTTCTTTTATCTCCTGAATTCCTGAGTCTGAAATAGCGAGAGATTAAGTTCCCAAATTACATAGAGTGTGTATTCTGTGTATGGCTCATTTTTAAGTAGAATTTCATGTGAAATGTTTGGCATAAACATTTTAATAGTTTAAGGAGGTTCATTTCATTTTTATTTCAATAGGTACATGTTCAAACAGCAACTATTATACTGCCTGCTTTCGTCCAGGAACAGTGCTAGACACGATAAATATACACGGTCCCTACTCCCACGTATTTGAAGTCCTACTGGGGGTGGGGAATAATACTTTTTTTAAATCTTGCATTTCTAGTTTATTTTTTTAAGATTATTTTTATTTATTTACATATACAAGAACTGGGGTGTAGGGCAGAGGCGCGGGGGTGTGTATGTGTGAGGATTCGCCAGAGACAGAGTCGGGAGCAGAACAGGTGGATCTTCTGAAATACACTGCTGAGGGTAGCAGTGGGCGAGACAGGAGAGGTCTGCTGTGCTTTGTGGGCCAGCTCCCTGGCGAGGATTGAACCCATGCCGTGGTGACTGCTGATAGCTTGATAGTGCTGAGACTTTAGCCTCTGCACCATCAGGGAGGCTCGGATAATAATCTTTTTTTTTTTTTTTTTTTTTTTTTAAGATTGATTTATTTATTTACTTATACAAGCACTGGGTACAGTCAGAAGCACGGGAGGGTGAGAGAATTCACCAGAGCCAGAGCAGGGAGCAGAACAGGCAGAAGGACCGAAGTACACTGCTGAGGGGAGCAGCGGGCGGCAGGAGAGGTCTGCGTGCCATGTGGGACCCTCCTCTGGTGGCCGGGGAGCAGCCGGGGATCGAACTCGCACCACAGAGGCCTTGGGCAGCTTCGCAACCCAGCGCTCAACCGCTGCGCCACCGGGGAGGCCCATCGGATAATAATCTTAATGGTTATTGTGGTGTAAATTAAAAATAAGCTGTGAAGAAGAGCAGAGTCAGCGAAAGGCTTTCCCGGGTGTCCTTTGAGATGAGACCTGAATGAAAAGAAGGTGAATCCCAAATCTAAGAGAATAGGTGGTGCAAAGGCCCTGCGGTTGGAACTAACTTAGTGTACCGCCCAGGGGTATGGGGAGGCCAGTGTTTAGGAGAGGTACAAGCCCAGGTAGAAGACAGTGCAGAGGGGAGGTTATGCAGGACTATAAGGGCAGGATGAGGAGTTTGGATTTTTTCCAAGAGTAATTGAACTTGATTACTTCTAGAGGTAAGGAGAATGGATGGTGGGGCCGGAAGCTCAGAAAGCAGTTGGAAGGCTGCCTAGTGAGAGATGGTGATGCACAGATGACATGAGGTGATGTTGCAATAGGTGAGACAATGTTGTAATAGGTGAGATGATGCATAGATGGGAGGAGTAGCCTGGAGATGGAGCTAGGTAGGGTTAGGAAGTCTTTTGGAAACAGTCTTACTAGAAATTGCTGTTGGATTTGGTTTGAGTATGAAGAAAGACGTCAAGGAGAACACATTTTATATTGTTTAGAGCTTCCGTGGTGTTAAAAGGATGGATAAAGCGCAGGTTGTGAAGAAGGTGAACCAAGTGTGAATATTACGAAGATGGAATAAAATTTTCATCCAGTTGATGAAAATGCCCTCAAGATCAGCTAGTGTCATTTATAATTCTTGATCATGTCCAGGTTTCTCAGCACTGTTGACATTTTGGGCCAGAAAACCCTTCTTTGTCGGGACTCTCCTGTGCACTGTGGCATGATTAGTAGCACCCATGACCTCTGCCCATTGGATATCACCCCATTATGCCAACCAGAATGTCTCCAGATGTGCCACATGTCCCTGGAGGACAAAATTGCCCCCAATTGAGAGAGTCACCAGACAACACGAAGGAGGTCTTAACAGATTTGGGACGGTGCCGCCGTGAGAAGACATCTAGAAATAATGAGAATGAAGGCAACGTGGTGGGATTGCTGCAGAACAGGAGAGCCCTGTTTCAGATTTAAAATATAAAGGAACTGCTTCCTATGCGGATAACTCCAGAGGAGTATGCTCATATGGGCGAGCAAATGTGCAAGTGAAAGCATCACATGTGCAAACACATACAGATTCTGGAGGAATTTCCTGTGCCTCCACAAATGCCAGTTTATATTAAAACCGAGAGTTCTGCATTAAACCTCGGGAAATGAATGAAGGTTCTTTTTACCGAAAATTTCCTTAAATTTTTCTTTAAATAGCAAAGCCTCCAAAGGCTTGATGTGATTTATTAAAATTCTATCGAAAGACAAATTTCAGGGACATATTTATTTTATAATACAAGATATTTTCATACACACCAGAAAAATACATACTTACCATGTATGTACATGCATGTATGTGCATCTTAACCATCTCTTTGACTCCCAAGAGATCATGGATTGTTTTGCGACCATGTATCACTGAGAAAAAACACTGCCTGTTTAACTCTGAAAAGTCACTTGTAAGACACACCCCGTTTTTGGTGACGTCAAAATGTGAGAGACATATAAACGTGTTTCCTAAAATATATGAAATATGGACTCTTTAATATCTGGGAGCTGATATAAAAGGGTCAAAGTCTTGAAACTGCTAAAGTGGAACACAAACACCAGGAAGTGACCTCATTCAGGATGGAAGCCAGTTTTTGTATTAGTAAGTATCAATCATAATGGTCAAAAAGTCAGTTAGAAAGGCCTGAGCTTACCAGCTTCGCCTGCTGTTGAGAATCGTCCACTGGAGTAGGAGATTGTCCTAGGAGCTGTCCTTCGGGACGATGAAGCCCCAGCCCAGCACCCTCTCTTCACAAGGTGAATGCAGGCCCCGTGTCATGGTGTTGGAACAAGGGTGCTGAAATTCTGCTGGGGGGTGGGAAGTTGGTTGTTACTGGAAAGAAAGAAAGCAGAGTGGGGCTTAGCACCTCTGGGAATGTAAGATCGGGGTCTGCTTCTCAGCCACTCATCTGGGTGGGATTCTCTAAAACAGCAAATGAGACCAGGTGTGAAGGTGAAATAGCCACTCTTAGGGGCTGATAAGGAGACTCCTGTGGCTAGAGTGGGTGTGTGTGTGGGGGGATGGGTGGGCTGGGGTGGAGAGCCAGCTGCCTTTATTGGGTGGGCAGGTGGGATCTCTGGAATGCATTTGAAAGAAATGCCAGGATGTGATGAGAGTTTCCTGTAGCAGAGCCCCTGAGGACGGAAATGCAAATCTGGAGTGTCTGGTAAAAGATTGGACAAGCGGGGATGAAGGTTTAAACAGAGAGGAGCTGGGAGGCCCAATCAGGTGGTCTCTGGCCAAGGAGGCCAGGCCAGTGCTGAGCATCTGATCTAGTCTTGGTGGTGGGGAGAGTATCAGTGAGAGCGAGGGAGGTGCATTTCAGGTGTTCCCTCCTTCGCCTGATTCCTAGTAGTAGGTTCTACCTTCAGTTAGTGTGAGGCCTTGTGATCGGCATCATCCAGCATGATCCTTGCCTGGTCCTCCCCCCCTCTTTAGGCGTTCATAGGAAAATGAGGCTCCATTCACTAAGCCCTTCTGCACAAAGGTTACTCGGAGCCTTGTTAACAGTAGTGGGGTGTGCCAGGACTGAATAACCTGTCTGGAATGTGGCCTGTGGCTACTCTGCCTGCCCCAGGTCATTTACATGACAACTCTTCCAAGAATTTATAGTGTCACCCTGTGCCAGGGGAAGAGAGTGACTTGCCTGTCTGAGTCGGGAAGGTGTCGGGGAAGCCTGACTCCCCACTTTCCCCGGAGGTGAGGGTGTTTGAAGCATGCTGTCTCCTGTCCCAGAGGGACCTCTGCTGCTGGCTGAGCTCAAGCCCGGACGCCCCCACGAGTTTGATTGGAAGTCAAGCTGTGAAACCTGGAGTGTCGCCTTCTCTCCAGATGGCTCCTGGTTTGCTTGGTCTCAAGGACACTGCATTGTCAAGCTGATCCCCTGGCCGCTGGAGGAGCAGTTGTAAGTACTCTCACACCCAAAGGAACAGGGAGTCTTTGCCATGGGGAACAGGAGTGCTTTCCCAGATTGTTCTCTACCCCCTGGGGGCTCCCAGCCCAAGAACAGGAGAAGGAAATGGATGAACAGGTCAGGAATTGATCATTGGGATTTCCAGAGCCCCACATTCTGTGCCTGTGAAAATTAATTATATTGAGATTATGTTAGTCTCAAGGTTTTATTGAAATATCAATTACGTAACATACATGTTGCCCATTTAAAGTGTAGAGTTCATTGGCTTTTAGTGTATTCACAGGGTTTTATATCTAGCGCCACCATCAGTCTGAACATATTCAGAGACATTACCTCCAAAGGAAACCCCGCATCTCTTGGCCATCGTCCTCCAGTCCCCCTCTGTTCTCCAGCACAGAGCAGCCCCTAGTCTTTCTGTCTTTATACCTGCCTTTTTTGATTGGCTGCTTTCATTTAGTATTAATGTTTTCACATGTTGTTATCATGTGGTTGCTTGTATTTCATTTCCTTTTTTTGCCAAATAATATTCCATTGTATGGAGAGATTTTATTTTGTTCATACATGTACCAGTCGATGGACATGTGGGTGGTTTTTCCTTTTTGGCTATTATGAATAATGCTGTAATAAACATTTCCATACAGTTTTTTGTGTGGACATATGTTTTCTATGTTAAACCATTTGAGGAACTATCAGACTGTTTCCTAAGGTGACGGCACCATTTTAGGATTCTACCAGGGATGTGCGAGTTTTCTAAATTTTCCACACCCTCCCCAGCACTTGCTATTGTCTGTTTTTTGGTCACAGCACAGCAATCTTTGGGGTATGAAATGGCTTCTCATTGTGGTTTTAAGTTGCATTTCCCTGATGGCTACTGATGTTGAACATCTTTTCATGTTTTATTGGCCCTTAGTCTGTCTTCTATGGAGATATGGCTCCTAAGATCCTGTGCCCACTTTTCAGTTAGGCACTTTTTATTATTGACCCAGATCATAGCTTTTCTTTCTTTGGGCTGGCGGGGTCCCGTGCTGAACGCTGTGCGCTCCTAGTCAGATGGTCCAGACCCTGCATCTTTCCACTTGTCCCTTATGTATACATTTATTCAGTTAACATTTTGTGCGCGTTTTTTTGTTTCTTTGTTTTTTTTTGCCTGACACTGAGCTAGGCGCTGAGAATCTTGCTGTGGTTAGACACAGCCCCTACTCTGAAGGGTCTCATTTGTTTTCGTTTAGGCATTTCTTACAAATCACTTATTAGATTTAAATTTTTAATTAAATTTATTCTGTTGCCTTGGTAATAAGTAGTGGTGACAAAAATTTGCTGAGCGGGGTCCTTTACACACTGTTAGGGTTGAGAGGTGTAAATTTTCACTCTCTGGAAAGCTGTTCAGCAATATGCATTAAGAATATTGAAGACATTTATCTGGCTGTTGGTAATCTCAGAATGGGGCCATTATTTAGATTCATGGAGTTTCATCGTGAAATTAACTACATAGTAAAAAACAGAAATAGTGATGAGAGAGTGGTCAAGGAAATTGTAGCATTGCTGTGTGATGTTTTTGCTGCTATCAAAGAGTGTGTGTGTGTGTGTGTGTGTGTGTGTGTGTGTGTGTGTGTATTTTAACCATGATTTTAATTTCTTATGTGGTCAGTTGAATGACAATGCTATGGTCATTAATTGTTTCCCTATTCACTCTACATACATGGGTCTCAGCTCAACTTCATATCTAGACTTATGTCTGATGTAAGTTTATAGGCTGAAAAAGTTTTTTATTTTAATGCATAAAATGGAAATTCTGTTGTTTTCCTGAAAATCAGGTTTGTATTCAAATCTGTATATTACGGTAGGTAAATATATCCTTTCAGGATTAACTAAGGAGAATGGGAATTTGAGAATTAATCCTTTCTGTGTGTGTGTTGTTTAATGAGCTAAATATTATTGTTTAATATGTTAAATAAGAAGTTACTTGTTTTAGGGGAATGATCACATTTTGAGAAAAAACAACTTGAAGAAATATCTGTAGTATAAAGCTTACTGAGAAAACTAAGCAAGTAAGACCATGAATGCAATATGATACAGATTTATTTTTGGAAAACATGTATACATGCATAAACAAACATTTATAGTAAAATGTTTCCTTGGTTAAAGTGGTGTTAAGATTATGGGTCATTATTATTTTATTATGTGTCCATTTCCAAAATTTCCCCATTATTCTTACAAATTTAAATCATTGATATTTTGAAAGTCTTTTGAAAAGGGCGTCTGGGACATTTATATTCTTGGTAGGATTGTTAAACATTTATAAAAATCTTTTAGTACTTTTGATATTGAGAAAATGATGATATTAACCAAGTTATACTACTTTTAGAAATAAAGTGTTTTTAGAAACTTTAATTTCAGTCAAGCTCTCCCAGTGAATCTCCCTTGCTTTTAGCTGTCCCCTCTCACCTCCCATGTAACTAACCCCTTGATTTGCTGGTAAATTCCGGAAGACATGTTGAACACCTGGCTAGGATATCAAGACTCGAGTTCTAATTCCAGTTCTGCTTCTGATTTTATAACCCTAGGAAAGGAAACTTAACTCCTGAAATGGAGATTTAAATATCTCTTTCTAGTGAAATTGAATGTATATTACTAAAATAAATTAATATGTAAATGTGCCTTCTGTCCAATATAGAATTTAGGATTTTATCAAAAGATAAAACATCTAAATTTGGAGGTTCTGAGCTGACCTGCAGAGCTCCCTTACATCAGTTTTTTGTGTGCTTCTTCCCTGGATGGTGAGGTGAGGCAGCTCTGTGAGGTGTGTGGACAGGCCAGGCCCTGGCTGTGTGTGCATTCATTAGATCCCGTCAAAGGGACTTTTACCATCATATTCAGATTGTATTAGCAGAATAACACATTTTTAGACGACATTTGACCAGTTAGACCAAAAGTCAGCAACCTTTCTCTAAAGACCTAGATAGTAAATATTTTTTACTTTGTTGGCCATATGGTTTCTGTCAAAACTATCAACTCTCCTGTGAAACCATGAAAGCAGACCTAATACTTGAGCAAATGAGCATGGTGGTGACCCAATAAAAGTTTATTTACAAAAGCAGACAGCTGGCCTGGCCGTATTTTTGTCACCTTCTGTTTATACTAACAGAGTTTCAGAACCGAAGAAGCCTGCATTGCTCCTTGGGTTTTGTTAAAATTCTTTAATATATTTCAACAACTGACAAAAATGTGTTTTACTTATAACTCTTCAGTAATATGTAATACGTAAAAGAAGCCTGGCTGCATATGTGTTGAGTATTCAATTTCTCATGGAACTGAGCTCAAGCTTTCTCGTCTCCATTTCCTGCAGTTTGATGTACCCCAGAATGTGATCAGGGTCACACAAAAAAGTAGGACTTAATACTTGTACTGACAAAGTGTACCCCACTGAGAAAGCTTCAAAGTTTCACACTGAACCCCAGGGCTGTCTACTGTTGGATGCTTTTGACATACTGTCTCCTGGGTGCAGTGGCGGGCAGGGCCCAGTGTGTTACTTAGGGTGTCTGGGCCTGTTTCACACTAAGTAACATGGAAAAGGAGAGGGTTGGCTATGAGCGTTTTCAGGTCAGTGTACCCCTGAGTGGTCTGTTGACTATCCCATTGGTTGGTTGCTGTGCTGGCTGTCCCATCAGGGAAGTAAACGAAAATGCTTTGTTGATTGGCACATAGTTAGTGAGCAGAAATCAGCATGTATCATGTAAGCTGTTTTGGCAAGAAAGGGGCTTCTTTTCTAGCTGCTGGGGCTTCGAAGCTGGAGATAAGGAGGCTCATCAGGCAGGAGAGCAGCAGAGGGGTATTCAGGCTCTGAGGTGTGTCCTGATTCCCACCCTACAACTTGCTTGCTTTCTCATGGGAAAAACTTAAGTGCATCTTTCTGTCTATACATCAAAACCTGAGAGAACTTTCTGAGGCAGCATGTGGCTCCCTGGAGAATCTGTGATCTAGTTAGTTAACCTGTAAGGCAGGTCACCCCATTACAGAGCTATCAGAAATGGGGTAAGCCAAGACCATGGGAGCCTCTGTTACCTCACCTCTTAAAGAAAGAAGTCATATCAGAATTCACTAGCCACCTTGTTTCTAGGACTTCAAAGCCTTAGATACCCCAAGATGAAAATTGGTTGACATGGCACCAGTTTATACTGACTAAAAAAATCTGTCATTTCCCCCCAGCATCCCTAAAGCATTTGAAGCCAAAAGCCGAAGCAGCAAAAATGATTCAAAAGGGAGAGGCAGCCCAAAGGAGAAGACTCTGGACTGTGGTCAGATTGTCTGGGGGTTGGCCTTTAGCCCCTGGCCGTCTCCACCCAGCAGGAAGCTCTGGGCACGCCACCATCCCCAAGCACCAGACGCCTCTTGCCTGATCCTTGCTACAGGACTCAATGATGGGCAGATCAAAATTTGGGAGGTGCAAACAGGTAGGTCATTTCCAGCTGGTACAGGGTCCTGGGAGGTTTGTAGGCGCAGGCTCACCTGAGACATAGGGTTCGCTGGCTGAGGGGTTAACAGTGGCTGGAGACTAGGTGCCGCCTCTCCCACTGACGGAGTGCTTCTCCCCTGCCAGGACTCCTGCTTCTAAATCTTTCCGGCCACCAAGATGTCGTGAGAGATCTGAGCTTCACACCCAGTGGCAGCTTGATTTTGGTCTCTGCATCTCGGGATAAGACTCTTCGCATCTGGGACCTGAATAAACATGGTATGGGGGTGATGGGGCACCTTGGCCACTCCTTAAATAGGATATTTGCCTCTTAACTCCACTTTACCAATCCAGAACAGCGTTTTCCTGATCTTTTTTTCTGTTGTCTCTGAGGGAGCCTGTGTATATCTGAATGCATATGTATGTTTTGTAAAAAATATTAGAGATTTTGGCCCCTAAGAACCAATTTTTACTCCAATTGCTATCACCCCTACTGAAAATACATGATCTAGAATAGGTTTTTTTTTCGCTTACACAGCACTGATCGACATTGTAGGCTGGGTAAATCTTTGTTGCGGAATGTCCTCTGCTATGTACCCATTAGATGCCAGCAGTACCTTTGCCAGTTGTGACAACCAAAAATGTCTCCAAACATTGGCTAGCATCCACGTGAAGGCAAGGTCTGCCCAGGTTGAGAATCATTGGTACTTCCTGTTAGAACAAAGAGTCTCTTTCTAGAAGAATTGTCTTGAGCTGGAAGGTGTCATGAGTGGATATTTTCTTGAGCAGCCCAGGAAAGAGTTCCACACAACCTGGTATTGATCTTTAACCGGAGAGGGGATGTCACAAAAAGGAATTTATTGCTAAGCCATTTCTCTCCCACATGGGTGGGGACACAGGGCCGGGGTGGCAGGGGGCGGGGGAGGGGGAGGAAATGTGAACAGTCCTGACAAGGCACACTCACCCTGACACACTAAGGGCGCTGGTATCCTTGCCCGAGCCATGGGAGGGCACCTGCCTCCTGCCCTCTTAGAAATGAACCTGGGAACTTGACAGACAACGAAACTGCTGTCTGTAGTAGCCTCCTGTGAGGGCATCTAAGCCCCGGGAGAACTCTGGACGGTGCCTGTCCGTTACTGTGGGCCTCCGTTACGCACTCTGAGATGGGCCTGCTGACTGGGAAGATGTCTCAAGGGCAGTGCCATTCTTCATGCGTGTCAAGAGGCAACTTGTCACCATCTAAGGAAGTCCTGGAAGGAACTTTGAAAATCACTTGGTGGGAAGAAGGGGGAGGAGAATGAGCTGAGGAGGGCTGAGGATGGGTAAATGTACTAGGGCAATCGTTAGGGCTTTTTAAAAAGAGAAGGGGAATAAAGTGTTCCCGGGTACTGGGCCCTGCTCTGTGCACCTGCCTCAATTTATTGAACCCACACAGCTACCCTGAGAGGCAGGCACTGTTCTTATTTGACAGCTAAAGAAACCATGACTTACTTTAAAAAAAAGTTATTTATACCCACCCTTTATTTATACCCACAAATTCTTGAGAGAGAGAGAGAGAGTGTGTGTGCGTGTGTGCGTAACCACATACATTACTGAAAACTTTGTTCTTTTTGTGGTTCTCCCCAATCTCTCTCTTGTCCTGCAGTCCACTGCATTTCCCCACAGTCCCTCTGTAGCCTTGTAACCCATGCAAACAGTCTCCCATCTTTCTCTTTTTAAGAGCCAGATACTCAGGCTCTTAAATTTATGGGGTTTGGGTCATTGTTTCACAAACATCGGCTCATACCTTTCATATTTTTTCTGCATCTTGTTTTTTTCATTGGTACACTATGGAAAATCGAGAGCCTTAATTTCATCTGAATTAATAGACATGCTACCATTCATTACCAATCCCTTTGTGAGTGGGCACTTAGTTTTTTTCCTTGAACTGAAGAGATTATGTGAGTGAACCCAGGTTATATGCTGAGTAAGCAGTGGATCCAGGGTTCAAACCTGTTTGCACGTGGCCCTCATTATTCTGCACCTTTATTCTGCTCATCCTCACCCCCTGGTGCAGGTGGGAGGAAGGGGAGAATGTAAATGGAGATCCTTATAGCCGGGGGAGTCCATTGCAGAGTTTAAATGATGGAGAATTGAAGATAAACAATCCTGCAGATTTGGAAAGATGGTTAAAGTACTTGAGGTGGTTGGGGGCCCTGTAAAGAATGTTTTCTGCTAGCAAAGGGTCCCTGGTGACGTACACCCTTTATCCCACGTGTCTTATGGATTTTGGTGAAATCATAGGCACTGATTTTCCTGGGCATTAGAAGGTGGTACTAATAAATTTCATGTATTTAAATGACAAGTCCTGCAGTATTTCTTTCTTTGCATTGAAGAAAGGGGCCTTTGGGCTCAGCTGTAGAGAACTGGTTGGGTGCACCGGATAGGGGGGTGGTCTGACTAGTTCTTCAGTCTTGCTTTGTGGGTTTGAGAGTGGCTCATCATTTCCTTTTTCTGCCAGGTAAACAGATTCAGGTGTTGTCAGGCCACCTGCAGTGGGTTTACTGCTGTTCCATCTCCCCGGACTGCAGCATGCTGTGTTCTGCAGCTGGAGAGAAGTCAGTAAGTGTCCAACACTAGGGGCCATCTCGATTGCTTTAGTGCAGCAACATGTGGGGGAGGGGGTCTGACGTTGGCACTGTGTGTGAGAGGGTAAATAAACCAATCAGCGGATGCCCCAGCAGAAGCCACGTTGGCCCATAGGCTCCTCTGGAGGAACCTTCCTTTTGATTTGCACTTTGATGTGAACTGAGAGAGAGGAGGTATTTGGAAGTAGATCGAGTCCATCATCAGAGAGCTGTTTGCTCTTACAAAATGATAAAGGGGTGCTTTTAAGATTTCTTTTCCTCTTGGAGTCTCAGATTTTCAAAGTTGCAACCTACATGTGGGTCCGCATTCCCTTCGAACCATCTAATTTGAATCTACCTAATTAGCATTTCCATTTCAAACCGTAAGATGTACAACCACTGTTGAACTTTGTCCTGAAATTCTGTCTGTTATTTTTTTAAGTATGAGAAGCTCAAGAACTATTTGGGAGCAGTTTGTTTGAATTGCGTATTTGCATGGAGCTGTTTGTTTACTCTCAAATTAGACCCAGTGCCTCTTTCTCAGGAAAGAGAGAGTTCACTATTTGGTACAGCCCAGGTGGTTAATCATTTATTTGAGGTTTGGAACTATGTGAAAATGCAAATTTTCTTAAAGCAAATAAAATACAATCCTACTTTTCATGATTTTCAAGAAGGTTTAAAGTGATGAGCTGGGTCAGACACAGGGCAGATTTCCTTGATCCTGAAATACACGAGGTGGTGTGAGATGGTGGCTGCTTGCCACCCTGGACTTCCTGTCTGACCCTTATTTTTGATTTTAAGGAAAGGACAAGGTAGCCCTTGGCTTAGTTGTTCTTTCGCATGTATGGCTGTTCGCAGACAGGCCTCGGGGCCCAACTCAAGCCGTCACTGATATGCCTCAGTCTTCCTGAGACTGGCTTGGTGTATTGTCTCTTAAAGTCAGCTCCTTGAACAAGTCCACAGGAATTTAGACCTGTTACTTTATATAAACCTGTGTGATACATTCCAGAAGAGCTCTGGAGTCTGGGCTTTACCTGGCAGCAGGACCTGGCAACACCCTCTGCACCTTTCTGCCACTGTTGGAGTTCTGAGCGCTTAGCTTCCCCTCCTAACCAGACGCCCCTTGCTCTCCCCAGGTCTTTCTGTGGAGCATGCGGTCTTACACATTAATCCGGAAGCTAGAGGGCCACCAAAGCAGCGTTGTCTCTTGTGACTTCTCCCCCGACTCAGCCTTGCTTGTCACGGCTTCTTATGATACCAACGTGATCATGTGGGACCCCTACACTGGCGAGAGGCTGAGGTCACTCCAGTAAGGACTGAACCCGTTTCCCTGGGGGGTTGCTGATGAGAAACCTGCCTTGGCTTGGACACATCCCTCCGAGGGGCTGGGCAGGACGGGACAACCTGGGTCCCCACACAGTGGGTTCGAGGCTTATTTGAAGGCTCTGGAGCGAGGCCGTGTTTCATTGTCTCTTAAGTTCTCAAATTGGACCCAGTGCCCTTGGTTGTCCTGACAGAGGAGGCGGCCTGTACTTCTTTGGATTAAGCAATGTGAAATCTCAAGTGACTCTTTCTTTCCATTTACTAATAACTGTAGTAACAAGTTCAGAACGATCCTCTCATCGAAACTGTTATTTCCAAAATGAATTTTCATGTTCTCACAGACTTGGTCTACTTTTTCCCTTCATCTTTGTTGTTTTCTGAAGCAAATGATAGGTAGTCCTATAATTATCGCAAGCTTAGCCTAAAAAAGACTTTCAGTTTGTACTGTGGCATTAAAGTGAGGGCTGACCTACTTTGCATAAGAAAATTAGTACAGGGAGTGCTGGGAACCCTTCAGCCCTCCAGCAAGTCACTTGGAGCCTTATGAAATGCACCTTTTCCAGTCTGCAGATCCCAAGGTGTTCTGTAAGGGGGCAAGATTTGTCTTGAATGTGTTCAGAGCCACAGTAGTTGAGCCTCTTGCCAAGAGGTGAAGAGGAAGATGAGGAGTGGAGGGTGGCCATCATCTTAGGCCTACTGTCCTGTTTCTTTCCTCCTCAGCCACACCCAGCTCAATCCCCCCATGGATGACAGTGACGTCCACATCAGCTCCCTGAGATCTGTGTGCTTCTCTCCCGAAGGCTTGTACCTCGCCACAGTGGCGGATGACAGGTAACCGAAAGAAATCTGTGCAGCCTCGGAATACCAGCTTGCAAGTTACTGTAGCATTACCCTTAGGGCTGGCCCCAGGTCTGCTCCCGCACAAATGTACCTTTCTTTCTCATCCAGACTCCTCAGGATCTGGGCCCTGGAACTGAAAACTCCAATTGCATTTGCTCCTATGACCAATGGTCTTTGCTGCACATTTTTTCCACATGGTGGAGTTATTGCCACAGGGTATGTATCTGTTTGCTGAACAGATGGGTAGCAGTTTCTGCTGAGTATACCATGTAGCTTTTTAAAGGGAAAAAAAAGCATCTAGAATGTTCTGGCCTATGAGGAAATACAAGATTACATAAAAAGCCATAGGGTGAAATGACCGCCTCACAGGGAATGCCTGTAATTCAGTAGGTGGCACGCCTCTCTCATAGCTGGACTATGTATGCTTGAGAAAGGGTGGTCCTGAGAGAGAGCACTTTAGCATCAAAGATGTCTTGAGTTTTTATAATCCTCTTAACACCTTAATTGTTCAGCACCGCAGCCATCCATTTCCAGTCAGGGCTGTGTTCCGCTCTCCAGTCTCCTGGCTGCGCAAGTCAGCAGAAGCTTTAACGCCCATCGCAGTGAAAGCACACAGTTCCTCGGTCTGTTAACGCATCGGTTTCCTTCCTTTCAGGACGAGGGATGGCCACGTCCAGTTCTGGACAGCTCCTAGGGTCCTCTCATCACTGAAGCACTTATGCCGGAAAGCCCTTCGAAGCTTCCTAACAACCTACCAAGTGCTAGCACTGCCAATCCCCAAGAAAATGAAAGAGTTCCTCACATACAGGACTTTTTAAGCAACGTGACATAGTCTTGTTTTTGTGTTTGGTTTTTTGTGTTTTTTTTTTTCTGGTAGCAGGATTAATCTTTGTGACACAGAGTGTCTGGAATAGTGGGCCACACATCTGGTGGGGTTGAAGCATTTCTCTTTGGGATTGTGAATAGAATGTAGCAAAACCAGATTCCAGTGGACTAGTCATGGATCTTTTTCTCCATGTGTGAAAGTCGGAGGAGGGGATCCCAGCTCCACAGCAACAGAGCTTGACTTTCAATCTTCAGTCCACTTATAAACAGCAATGTTGAACTCTTTTAATTGTTTTGATTCAACATGCAGTTACTTAGGTTGTTTTGCTAAGAGTAACTAGGCCTCTGAGCCTCTGAGGTGGGAGAGAAATTTCAGCTCCACTGGCAGGTCTGGCTCCCACCTCGTACTTACCATTGCGGTTGCGGGTACAGTGGTGGCTCAGAGTTCCCTCCCTCTGGCTCTGCTCTGACCAGCAGGACAAGTTTCCATGGAGCAGTCTGTGTGAGTGTTAACTTAGCCTAACTGAATTACAGGTGACTCAGAGGCTGTGCTCCTAACTGACAGACACTATACTTTGCTTTTCTTTCCTCCCTAAACAGTGGTGTGCATGTGCAGGAGATGACAAATGTTGTGTCGGGCTACACAAGGATGTATTCCTAAACTGCATGACTGTTCACATGGCTGAGTTGTCAGTTGTTTGCCATTCATTAGCATATTTATTTGTATTTTCTCAACAGATGTTAAGGTACAACTGTGTTTTTCTTGATGGTCTCTAAAAACCATAGTACTTCAGTTGAACAGTTGTGAAGATGTCTCTTAATTGCGTAAAGAATTGGTGTTGTCGTTCCTTCAGCTGATAGTCTCATGTATGACACCCGACTTTGTCACTTCACCTCATCAAACTGACCAGCCAGTTTCAACTCTACCCCTAGACGAACATAGCTCCTTGAAAGTGCTGTTCTCCTTCAAGGCACACAGATGCCTCATTCACACACAATCTGCCTTTGGAAAATTTAATATATTTTAAATTATTTTAAAAGAAATGCAACGTCGTATCCTTTGGCTTCCTGACGGGTGCTTGGTAGAGGCCAGCAGGTCCTTATGAAACATGTCTCTGGACACATTTGTTGCTGAGGAAAAACATTCCAAGATGAGAAGCTTTCATTGAAGGAACAGTCTAAAGTTTTAGCTGTTTTCATTAAGGAAAAAAAAAAAAATCACTTTTTAAAACAAACGAGTACAATAGGGTAGCTGGGAATGGACTGGGCAGATTTTAAATGTGATTATTTTGCAGTACCCCAGACAGCATAGTCTGAGAGGCTGGGGGTGGCTTCCATGAGGCCCCTTTCAGCCAGTGACTTCAAACTTAGCTGATGACCTTGGAAGCAAGTTGTCTGTGAATGATGGAAACAACCGGCTTCTTCCTTTTGATAATACAAGAATTTGATAGCTTTCTAAAGAACAGCCTCCAGAGAAAGTTTATTCTGTGATAGCAGAGACAGAGGAGGCTTTCATATAAATGCGCACCGAATAAGTCAGCATCTCATCACTGGTTAAGAAGAGTCACTTGTAACACAACCAAAAAACAGGCTGCTTTATTTTTATTATGAAGAACACTATAATAAATGCAATGTAATTGCTAGAAAATAAACTGCTACATTTGTACACAGGTCATAAGCCTTTAGCAGTTGTAGGTTCCGAATGGGGCTTCTTACGAAGCCTCATCCTGGGTTAAGCAAGTGAGGTTTGCACAACCTCTGACCTCAATGGCATAATTCACAGTGAAAGTTTTCTCTACTGTCCACACAACTAGGAACCTGCTAGTAATGCTCTTCAAGAGGAAAAATAAAACACCAATTTTTAAAGTCAAGAGAACTGAGTCTATTTTATGAGGGTAAAGTCATTTTGGGCAGAAATCCAGTCATACTTACAAAGTAGATAACAGACGGCCACAGATTAGTTTGGGAGATATTCTGTTTACCTTGAGTTGGAAGAAGTTGGACCAGATAAGATCTGAAAGCTTTAGGTGCCAGGCCAGAATGGAATAGGCCAATTTCCTGTCATCCAAGCAAGTGAAGAGTAAAAATCCTTAAGGTTGAAAAGGGTTTTGTGGTTTTTTCTTTTTCTCCAATAAAGGACAAATGGGCAGTGCAATATGATAGTCATACACTAAAGCTGATGTACATCCTCTGTTTTTTAAATGCCTGCCCCCCCCCACGTCTGGGACAGCTTCCCAAGACTTGAGGTGACAATGGCATCACCTCCCCGGGCGTGGGCAGCAGTTCATCCCATCACTGAGGTCCCCGCTGTCCTGACATTGCTGAGACAGGCCTCCACGTTAGGCCTCAGTAACAATCAGGTCTCTGGTGACTTGAAAAGCCGCAATGAGGGAACTCAGCTGAATCTTCTCATTGGTGCCAACAGAAAGCCTGTACCTAAGAAATATAAAAAATAAAATAGACAACATCACAGCAGCTACCTTTTGACAAAAGAACAACAGAGATCAAAGACAAAGTTTTCTGAAGACAGGAAGTCACAAAAGTTTATCCTAAACAGGAGTCTTGTCTGTGTGCCCAAAATTTGATTCAAACTGGTGAAGAAAAATTACATTGAGAAAACTGTTAGCAGCAGTGTTCTGAACTTTGTTCTAGCTGCACAGATAGGCAGAATTCAGGACTGTGTCTTCATTTGAGAGGAACTGTAAAATTTTTTTCTCTCTCAGTGGGAAGCTTGGTTGAGGGATCTGTGGTCATGCAGGACACTGACATTTCATCTTGCCACTTTGCAAGTGTCCGGCCAGTGAAAGCAAAATCGCTTACTGATAAGAAGTGACCTAATCTGTGCATAGAGAACCAATGATGGCAAATTAGAGATGGCCTATGGTGACATGTTTTGAACCCGGTGCTTTTGTTCTACTTAAATGATAGCAGCCACCTTCACTGGGGACTAAAAACTATATTTACTGACCGCGGCAAACTTGAAAATTGAGTTTATGTTTACTCTTTCCCCCCAATATGCTTTAATATGCCAAATTCCTTCCTAACAGCTGGAGAGCTGGTTGTCCCCACACCTCAAGGTGGAAGCAGAGCCCTTTATCGCCAGTACACATCTGAGGTGTGGTTTATCCATACAGCCTTTAAATAAGGGAGCCACTCACACCCCTCCCCAGGCTCCACAGCAAAAACTAGATGATATCGCATATGAGTAACTTAAAAAGGCTGAAACCAAGAAAGTAGACACAAAATAGGGGAAAAAAGAACAGGATGAGAGTGGAAATACTCACTCAATGTCTGCCATCTTGGTCAACAAATGTATTCGAACTGAAGATGGAAAGTCAACTGGGAAAAAAACAAGATCAAATGGGTGAGGTCTGTCACTCCCTACCATGAAAGAAACAGAGATCACAGAAAACAAGTACGAGGCCGCAGGGCACTAGATACCACCTCTCTAAAGTAAAACCAGTGCAGGTTTTTGGTTTTTATTCACTATGTTTTGCAATTCTTCGTAGTGCAACCAAAAGGGAAAGCAATGAGATTTCCAAAGCTTCGGTCAAGCCCGGGAGCGGCGCCCACACTACTCTGAGCAGTAAGGGCAGCTCTAATTAACCTCAGGGCCAAGTTCTCAGCTGCCGTCCCAGTTTTCATGACAGCTGATTGTAAAAATCCAACTCACGCTCTGCTTCCACCATCAAAGGGCAGGACTGGGTTTGGGCTGACCATGTTCGTGGACATAGGTTAACCCGCCAGCCCACTGGGAGGAGGCACAGGGCCACCGGCACAGCCGACCCTGGGGCCCTGTCCGCTGCTGGCCTCAGTGGAGGGAAGAGCATCTCCACAGGACTGTGCAGCAGATCGCCTGGGGGATCCAAGAAGACACCGATGCGGTTCTCCCCCCGGGGCTCAGTGAATTGTTTAGGAGATTCCTGTGTGCGGCTGCGGGCGAGACCAGCTCTGTGCAGGAGACACACACAGTATGGTGCTTGAGGCGGTCACCCAAGATGGCTGTGCTCTGTGTGAAGCCAGGTCCTACTCCTTTCCTTTTGGGGAAAATACTGCCAGAAATGAGAATTAAAACATACTAATTGCTATAAAGTAGAAACCCTCGGAGGAAATAAAGTCAGCCTCCATGAGTTTCCACTCACTCCCCAGCAGTTCTAGAGGTCAAAAAGGCGTTTTGGAACAAAGTTTTAAATAGCAAGACAAAACTAAAAATGAGTCAGGTTTGTATTTCCTGTTCTTTGCCTTAAAAATGAAGTCTCGTGTTGCCTCTGACCAGCCTCACCCGCAAAGCCGGCCTCCTATATGGCTTCTAAAACAGCGAATAGCCCAAGTTACCTCTGTGCACAAATAGGTGTATCTCTGTCAGGATATCATGTAGCGCCAACCCCTTCAGAGTCTTGAGCTCCATAATATCTAGACAGAAGCAGTTAAGGCAAAGGGAACAAGCCCAGAACAAAGGTGCCGCAGAGGATTCTGAATCCCTGCCCTGACTGTAAAGTTGGGCTTTTACTGCTATCTAACTATTGCTCTTTCAATGTGAAGCTGCCCATATTGGGCCCCAATTCTTCTGTTGTATAGTCAACAGGGCATCTGAAAGATAAGTGGTATCTCTGTACTCCCCAAATGCATTCATTTCACTACCCTGGCCTTTCACTTCACAGAAAAACAAAAGCAGCACTGACCACTTGAAAATAACGCAGCTTCCATGCCCGGGGCTGACTGCTCTTCTGCCACCTTGAAATGAAGTGGCTTCAAGCCATGTCCAGATCCCAGTGCGTCATGGAGAACTTTGGGGCATTAAAGACAAGTGCCCACTGGGCCTCCCTGATGGTGCAGCGGTTGAGCGCTGGGTTGTGAAGCTGCCCGTGGCCTCTGCCGTGCCGGTTCGATCCCCGGCTGCTCCCCGGCCACCGGAGGAGGGTCCCGCATGGCGCGCAGACCTCTCCTGCCACCCGCTGCTCCCCTCAGCAGTGTGCTTCGGTCCTTCTGCCTGCTCTGCTCCCTGCTCTGGCTCTGGTGAATTCTCTCACCCTCCCGCACTTCTGACTGTACCCAGTGCATGTACAAACAAAAACAAACAAACAAATTTAAAAAAAAAAAAAAAAGTGCCCACTGCACCCACAGACGCCCTGCCCCCACGACAAGATGACCAGTCCCATGCAGCCTGTTGTCTCTGGCCAGCAGTGTGGGTGCTGGCTGCAGCCTGAGCTTCCAGGGCCAAGTTCAGGCCTCAGGCACTTCATGTGCCGAAAAAGGATACTCCTGTAGGCTGTGGTGAAGTCTTGATTCAACATCCAGTCCAGAATGTTGGCGATGTCAGACTTGAGCGGGTGCCCTGTGCAGGTGTAGACAGTCTCCTCTGTCACCTTCCCAAAGGCCATATTGGTGCTCTGCAGATGGGGAGAACCACGGTGGCTATGACGGGGCCAAGCTGCAGGCAGACCAGGGGAACGTTGCCACGGCAGCTACACAAGTGGGCCCAGGATGGCTCGAACCCTGTCCCTTTCACTCCTGTAGGAGCTGGCCTCCTTAGATGCCGCTACTTGTTAGCTGTGACAGCTGCAGAGTTCGTCCCTATCTTTCCCTCTTTCACCACAAATTATTCTTTGGATTAATCACAACACACAAGTAGGGGGAGTCTGGCACAGGGAGCCTAGTTCTAAATTTCTCAATTTACAGACTGGCCATGCTGTTGCTTGTATCGTTCTTGAAAACTTAACCCAAAGCAATGACCTGAGATGGGCTGCGCGTGGTACTATACCTGCAGGATATTCAGGGCCCTCCGCATGTCTCCACTGGAAAGCGTTACAAGTGCCTTCATCCCGTCTTCACTTATATCAACTCTGCAAGGAAACAGGCAGAAGGGATTGGCAGGCCCCCTGAGAGCACCAGCACTCACTCCGGGAACCTGAGGGCCCGGAATGATTGAGACTTTAAAACAATGAAAGAAAAAAGGGGAGGAGGGAGTTAACAATCCTCTCCTGATCTAAATGATCTAGAATTCACTCTGGTTTTTAGGGAGGGGGTTTGACATGAGTAGTCACAGCCTGCTCACCATCTAGAAAGGCCCATATTTAGGACTAAAGCATGTAAACAACTGGCTCTAAAGTATGTTCCCCGGCATGCTCCATGATCTCCGGCAAAGCACCTCTCTTCAAATCTGCAGCAGCTTGGGCTGGCTACTTGTCTGGCATCGGCTTATATAGAATAACATGTCTCAGAACTTTCCCTTCTAGTCAAAAAAGGCTGGAGGCATCTTAGCAGAAGGGACTTGGCAGCATGGCGGTTCCAGTGACAAAAGAAGAGTAGGAGGAAACTGGGACATTTCCAGGGGAGGAGGATGGAATCAAGAAAAAAATCAAGAGAGCCGAATGGCTTTCAGGGAGAATGTCTGTGAGGCACCAGAGAAAGTGACAGCAGATCACAGGCCCGGTTGCCTACCTGGTGCCAGGCACCCCGCTAAGTCCTTACAAGCGCCGCGGTCTTCACGGGAAGCCCGTCAGTCACCCTGGATCCTGCTTCCACAGCACCGCACCCCAGGCCCGCCCCCCCCCCGCTCTCCAGTGCACTCACTTCTCTTCGTGTACGACATGTTCCAGGCGGGGAACCATGAGCTCAGGAGTCAGGGGGCCGAAACGGAACCTTGTGCACCGGGACTGCAAGGCGGGGATGATCTTGGACAGGTAGTTACAGATGAGGCAAAATCTGGTATTTTCAGTAAATTTCTCAATCACTGGCAAGGAAAAGGAAAACCACCAGCTCTCAAAGTCCACTCCAACGCTGCAAAGGACCCAGAGCCCCTGCACTCTGCTGTGGGCACATGGAAGATGCAGGAAACAAGGCAACTCGAACTGAAAAATGCAGACAAGTGGGGGTGCAGCCGCAACAAGTGTGTCCCGGGGGGTCAGGGCTGGAGGCTGGCCACTCTCCTCCCCTAAAATGATGAATATGTCACCTCCACGAGATCCTCCAAATTCCACTGCTTCCTTTTTTGTGAGTCGCCCTGATCTAGCACTCTTGCCATCCAGCCCATTAGGGCAGGGGAGCCCAGATCCCCAAGCTTCTGCATAGACTTGCTTGGCAGCTTGGTGATGCCCCACCTTCTACCGAGCAGGGAGGGGAATGGCTTTTTGCAGGCTTCCCTGTGGACTTGTCTACAAGCCTGAGAGCACTCGAGGCAGCAATAACCCAAATTCAGAGATGCTTATGACACTGGTTTCATTGTGTGGGTACCCGGTGTTCTTGCAAGGGGACCTGCCCAGACTCATAGGAGCGCCACAGAACACGATGCCGGAGACAGGCTGCCAAGGCTTCTAGGGCCAGAAGACACTAACTGTCCTCCACTTCTTATATATGGGCTCCTTCCCTCCTGGCTGATTACCTCAGACTCTTTTTTTTTTTTTTTCTTTTTTTTTTTAAGATTTATTTATCAAGCACTGGGGTACAGGCCAGAGGCGCTGGAGGTGAGAGAATTCACCGGAGACAGAGCAGGGAACAGAACAGGCAGAAGGACTGAAGTACACTGCTGAGGGGAGCAGCGGACGAGGCAGGGCAGGTCTGCTGCGCCATGTGGGAATCTCCCTGGCCAGCCAGGAGTCGAACCGGCACTGCAGAGGCTACAGCCAGCCTCACAGCGCTGCGCTCAACCCGGGGAAGTCCAACCTCAGAATCTTAATGAAAATGATTATGAACGTCCTTTCAAAGAAATCAAGAGCACCAGGCCCCTAAGAGAGACAAATCATAGGACACTCTCCCTTCTCTGCCCAATCATTCACTTGGCAAGTGAATTCATTATATTCATTATATTCGCTACTTCATTACGTCACGCAAGGTCAGCTTTCTGAGTGCAACTCAGCTTCTGGCTTTATTTCCCTGGCCATTTGGCATCTACGCAGAAAGGTACCCAGCAGTTCAGGAAAGAAGGGCTCCCCGTGACCTCTCATCAAACAGTACAAATTCCAATCCCAGAAACCGAACCCGGTGGAAAAGAAGGAATGAGCCGTGTCTGATCGTGTTTTAAAATCCCACAGGGCTTACCTCCTCAAGCTCCTGAGGAAGCGGAAACCCCCCGCCCTCCTGCGAGCCACCTCAGACCTCATGGCCAGACCTCCTGTTCCCTCCCTGGCAGCACCTGCACTCAGCGGCCAGTCTCACCTCTCCGCAAGGCGTTCTGGGCGTCCTGAGTCATGGCGTCAGCTTCATCCAAGATCACGAGTTTAAAGCCTTTCCTAGGAAAACAAATGGTACCATCTGACGATTTCTTCAGTGTCACTTCAACTTCCAAGCCCAAACCTCCATCTTCACCCTTGTGCCATCAGGCCCTGTCCCATGGAGGACATTTAGCCTAGGACTGCACCAAAGTTGGCATCTGCGGGCACGTAGAGAGGAGCCCCCCGCCCTGCCCCAGCGCACCTCTCACGGGGCCCCGAGGTCTAACTGCTGCTCTTCATTGGGCTGGTCTCTCTGGCACATCCCCCTTCCTCTCGCTCAGCACCCTCTTCCGTTAGGTACTTGTCTCGCCACCTTCATTCAGGCCCGTCTTTTCACCTTTTTCTGAGCTGCCATTCTAGGTCTCCATCCCCATCTCAACTTATTTTTGTTTCAAGTCAAACCAGCTCACCTACTCTTAGGATGGACTGAGCCCTCAGTAAAGCAGTAAAATAGCGCTGATGCCTCCCCACATCACTTGCTAATGCCCATATGGGTTTAATATTTGCTTTTAAACATTTCTTACTGCCATCCCCGGACTATCTCTTTTCCATGGCTGCTTTTGGCACAGTCATTTTTTTTAACCTTTACAGGCTGGCAACAGGGAGGATTAAAAGTATTAAGCTCTATTATTTCACTGATCAAAATCTACAGGGAGAGAGATGATGCAAACGGTTCTTACTTAAATATTGTTCTCGTGCTCGCAAAGCTCAGGATGGGTCCCCGAACGATATCTATTCCTCGGTCATCTGAAGCGTTCAGCTAAATGTGGTACAGAAGGCACAATAGAAAACATGTTGGCGCACTGTCTGTGACCATTTTTTTCAATCCAGCTCAGCAAGCTAGGTCTCTAGGTCTAATGACAGTTTACAGACAAACACTATGAAAGAACAAGATCACAATTATACTTAAAACTCACAACTCATGAGATCACTACATTATATTCTAAAAGGCAAGTAACTGTTTTTCCTCCCCCATTTTGAAGACAGTCACTGCCATAAACCACAGGCATAATAAGCTGGGCTGGTGATACCGGGCAGCACCTCTGGCATGAGCAGAGCAGTGCTAATTTTAGCTACTGCAACCCAAAAGCCACCAAGTTTTTAATTCATTAAAATACAAATGTTAGAAGCAGCAAGGTTCTAAGATGTTAAAAAGTAAGTTAAACATGTTTTTTCTTGCAACAGACAATATTCAGAATTTTGTCATCTAAGCGTATGAGGTGAGGGCCTACCAGTACAGAGACAGCATACTCCAATTCAACTGGATGAACAACTTGCAAAAGGTATTGATTGGTGGGGGCGGGGGGAACACAAGGGCCATGCAATACCTCAAGGACTAGTGGGGCCCATTACACACCCTCTTAAGGGGGTACAGGGGGTGTGGTGTTGGCCCCTAGTGAGGGTTGAATGATTTGCCCTGCAGAGGGGATGCTACCAGCCTGTGGGGACTCCTTGTACCAAGCCTGACTTCTGCAGGGCCTTTCCTGGCCAAGCCCAACTAGGAATCAGAGGGCAAGGAAACTTTCAGGGAATAGGGCTCGACTTATAGGGGGCAAGGAGAGGATGGAGTTACCTGGAGAGGGGACCTGCAGGGGTACAAAGGAGAGAAGCGGCAACTGAGTGACTGCTGAATGTTTGGGTAAAAGCTGGCAACAGTAAAGAAACACACCCAGCTCTACCACTGGCCTGTGGCTCACATCAATCCAAATTCAAATACAATTACAGAAAAAAATGAGTTGAAATATTTTACGTCTGCTGCTTTTCCTCCAGCAGGGAAACTTCTTAAAAACTAGCAGAATGAAAATGAGGAGACTGGAGGCCTTTATAGAATAAGAACTGTCCTATTTACCTCCAAGACCATGGAGCCAAATTCTTTGTTTCTGTACAGCTGTTTGGCACAGGCTAGGATGGTGGATGTCTTTCCCGTCCCTGGAGGCCCATAGAGAAGCAGATGTGGCAGCCGGTCTTCACTGATAAATTTTTGAACTGAGGAGCAGGAAGAAAGAGGAAACACTGTCAGTTTCTGAGAGTTGCCTCATTCATTGTGGGCCCCTGACTTGGGCTGAATGCAATTCAACTCTAAGTGCAAATCACAGGCATATGCAGGAACGAAAATTTGAAGCACTTCACTCTTACAGCCACATTCCATAGATTAGCTCAATTAGAGTCTTCAAATTTATTGAACAGCAGAGACAACATCACCAAGAAATATATCTAGGTACTTTACCTAGGACAACAGACAACAGCAACTGACACATGTATACTTACTGGTACTCAAAATATCCTGGTGAGAAATGAGATCATTCAGTGTCTGGGGCCGGTATTTTTCCACCCTGGAATACAATTTAGCATAGATTGCAACATATATAAAAGCAAGAACATTTCTGTTGTGTGCAAAAGACTTCTTTCCTATTTTAACTAAAAGAGGAAGAGAAACAAAATGCTTTAAGTTTGAATACAGACCAGAGGTTCTCAAGCAGTGGCCATCTTGTCCTCTGGGGAACATTTGATGTTACCGGGAGATTTTCCGTTTTCACAAGTGGTTGGAAGATGCTACCGATCTAGCTGGTAGGTACCAGGGATGTTGCTGGACATCCTACAATGCACAGGACAGCCTCTACCCACTCTTCACCCTCCCCCCACCCCTCTCCCAAGTATCTGGCCCAAAATGTCAATAGGGGTGAAAAACTGCCTTTACTCTCACCCTGAATGGGCACCCACTATTACAAAATGATTCCAAATTGATGTAGTACCCTAATGTCAACCCACACAATGGAGTATTATTCTGCATAAAAAGGGATTCTGCTTCATGCTACAACATGGATGAACCTCAAAAACATGCTAAATGGAAGACAGACACAAAGGACTCAAATTGGATGATTCCATTTATATGAAATATCCAGGACATGCAAAATTTTACGTTAGTGATTGCCAGGGGCTGATGGTGGGTGTCAAAGGGCAGAGGATTTCCCTCTGGAGTGACTTTTGAAACTAGATAGTGGGATGGCTGCACAACATTCTGAATGTACTTAAAACCACTGAATTGTATACCTTTAAATGGTCACCACAGAAAATTATATGGTGTGTGTTTTCATCACAATATACGCAAACTGAACTCATTATTAAGCAAGAACTTTAGAGTTGTCCAAAATCAAGTCATGTCCCATCCAAGTCTTTAATAAAGCATCACGAGGACACAGATCTACTAGCATGCCGGTTAAGAGTGCAAGCTCTGAAGTCAGACCAACCGAGTTCAAACCCAGGCCTATTCCTAGCTGCGCATCTTACGCAAGTCTTTCAACCTTCCAGTTTCCTCAAAGGTAAAACTGAAACTTACACCTGGGGTGCCCGCAGAACAGAAAGCCAGGCTCTTATATAAAAGCCAAGGAGGGAGGGCCTCCCTGGAGGCACAGCGGGTTGAGCGCAGCGCTGTGAAGCTGTCCGCAGCCTCTGCAGCGCAGGTTCCCTTCCTGGCTGGCCAGGGAGCTACCCACACGGCGCGGCAGACCCCTCCTGCCTCGCCCGCTGCTGCCCTCTGCAGTGTATTTCATCTGTCTGCCTGTTCTGCTCCCCGCTCTGTCTCCGGTGAATCCTCTCACCCTCCCGACCCGTACAAAAACATTAAACAGATCTTTTTAAAAAATTAAAAGCTCACGAGGGGGGGTCGCCACTATCATTGTTATTCAGGTTTGGAATCTGACCGACAACCACACGGAAGCCTTGGCACGGAGGCCAAGGCAGTCAGCAGATGGGGTTCCAACCCCCGGCTGTCACCCAGGTGCGAAAGCCGCGTTTCCCTTGGGCGAAAGGATCGGGGCGCCCCGGCAACAGTCCCAAATAGGACGCGGGTAACTGGGGCGCTGGGGTGGCCGAGGGGGCCCCTGCAGCGGGGGCCTGGTGGGCTCGAGCCGACCCCCTTCCCCGCGGCAGCCGGGCCTCCTCCTACCAGGGCAGGTTCCTGATCTGAGCCGCCGCGGGCTGCTGCTGCTGCTGCTCGCCGCCCGAGGTCTCCATGGCGGGACGCGAGGGCTTCCCGGTCCGTGGGGGGTCGCGTCCCCAGGGGTCTGCGCGGCACCCAGCGGCGAGCGGGCCTGCGAGCCTCTTAGAGTTCGCGCGCAAACGCAACTCTCGCGAGACTTAGCCGCCGGCTTCCGGCTTCCTGCTCTGGTCCCGCCCCCTCTCCGTTGCCCGGGCGCCGGTTGCCAGGTTACGGAGGCGCAGGCCGGCCGGCTGCCCGCGCGCGCGGCTTGGGGGCGCCGGGGGGCTACCCGCGCCCAGGGAGACGGGGAGCTGGAGCCGCAGGGACGCTCCCTGCAGCCCGAGTCAGCATTACAGCTCAGGTCTGGCCCAAGCTAACTCCGGCCATCACCAGGGTTCAAACGGCCAGAGCTTAAAAACCCCGAGGAGAAACACCCCCAAATGACAGCCGGTTCTTGAATAGAGAAGCCAGTGCAGAAGGGCTCAGACACCTTGCCCCCGCGCTGGGAGGTGAGTACTTGGAACTGAAACACAAATCCAAGCAAACACAACTCCAAGCCGTGTCCCAAATCCGTGTCCTCCCAGCCCCCCAACAAATTTCAGAAAACCGACCTCCAAAAAGAACTGCAGAGTGAAAATTTTAGAACTTTACTTCCAGTTAGGTGAGTATGTGGAACTGCAGAGGGCGAGTTAATAAGCAGAGCATAGGGGACCCGCGACCCAGAGGTCATGCGAATCAGCCCCCTACCCCCGCCCCTCCCCCGCCTGAGCTGAGGGGATTTGGGGTCACTTTGGGTTTTGTTGGTTTTGGTTTTTTCCCTCTTCGCTGGGCTGTGCCTAGGTTCGGTCGGTCTGGTTCAGAAGTAACCGCTCCTTGCATCTTGGTACATCTCTGCCACCTGCCGTGGGAGCAGGCCAAAGCCGCAGTGGCACCCTTACCTTGGCGAGGAGGAGTTCCCCCTGCGCCCCAGAAGAACGTCGGATGTGGGTTGTGGCCTGGCAGCGCCCCCACTCCGCTTCCTCCGGTGCCAACTCTGACCCCGGTTCTTCAGCTCACTCACTCGCCCGCTTGCCATTTCTTCCACAGTTTGGGGCAGGTTGCTTCTCTTCTGTTTCATAATATGCATGGGGTCATCTACCCCAAGAGAGTGAGGACTGAACAAGGTAAATTTTGTAAGCACCCAGCTGGGGGTCATCTCCCTCTCCCCGCCCTTCCAGACACTCTGTCCATCCTGTCCTCATTTGGGAGGTGTCCTCAAACAGAAGGTAAAGAACTGGCAGGTGTGACTGTGCCTGTGAGGGTTAATCTTACGTGTCAATTTGACTGGCTTAAAGGATTTCAGAGAGCTGGTAAAATATGCTGGGGGGGCTGCGTCTCTGAGGGTGTTTCTGGGAGAGATTAGCATTTGAGTCAGTAGACTGAGTATGAAGATCCCCCTCACTAATGTAGGTGGACCTCACCCCTCCACTGAGAGCCTGAATAGAACAAAACAACAGAGAAGGGAGAACTTGCCCTCCATTTGAGCAGACAGTCATCTTCTACCCTCAGACGTCTGCACCCCTGGTACTCGGGCCTTTGGATCTGGGCTGACTCACACACCAGCTTTCCTGGGTAGCCAGTTTGCAAAGTAGAGCGTGGGACTTCTCAGCCTCTGTAATCATGTGAGCCAATTCCTATAATATGTAACAAATATTATATATAAAGAATGCTATATTATATACATATGTATCTAAGTGTGTGTGTGTATATATAAATATTTTTTTTCCTATTGGTTTATTTTTCTGGAGAACCTTGACCAAAGACACCATAACCTGGGTTTTATTCAACCACCAAGGGATGAAGCATCTTGCTAAGGGACCTTTGCATTACAAAAACTTGAGCTGGAACATGTGAACAAGACTGGCACCGATTCTCATAAAAACTTTGTGTGTGCCTGGCTGTTCAGTTTGCAGAATTCTCTTTTTTTCAAGATTTATTTATGCATACAAGAGCTGGGGTCTAGGCCAGAGGTGATGGGAGATGAGAAGATTCACCAGAGACAGAGTGGGGAGCAGACAGGTAGATCTACTGAAATACACTGCTGAGGGGAGCAGCAGGCAAGACAGGAGTCTTCTGTGCCATGTGGGTCAGCTCCCTGGCCAGCCAGGAATCGAAATCATGCTGCAGTGGCTGGCAATAGCTTGATAGTGCTGTCTGTAACCCCTGTGCCATAGGGAGGCCCCAGTTTGCAGAATTCTTCTGTGTGACACTATATGCACATTGGCAGAGCCATCTGTCATGGGCCTCCCAGGTAGAGTATAAGTTCACTGAGAGGTGTGACTTGGGCTCAACCACTAATGTACTCCTAGTGCCTGGAACAGTGCTTGACTTGAAGGAACCACACCATTAACAGCTGTTTGATGAATGAGTAGTAGATGGTATCCATCAGGCAGTGACTGTGGCTCAGATATTGTTCTGCTTTTTATTTGTTATACCCAAGTGTTGCAATAAGCTCAGCCTCTGTCATTGGCCTCATTTCATTGATATGTTGAGTAACTTGCCAAGGTCTGACTTGGCCTCAGAGACAAGAACAGGGTCTTACCAAAACAGTGTGCTTCTGTAGACCCAGTTCTCAGCCACTAAACTAGTGTGGTCCCTGGACCAGCAACAGCAGCCCCTGGGATCTTGTTAAAAATGCTAATTATTCTTCCACCCACCCCAAACTCATTGAATCTGAAACTCTGGGGGTGGGGCCCAGCCATCTGCTTTGTAACAAACCCTCCGGGGGATTCTGATGCTTTCAAGTTTGAGAAATACTGGCCTCTACTCCACTGCTTCTCAGTACTGGAGCTCCCCATGACTTCATTTTCTAAGAAAAGGAATGGGTACCCCAAGGCCTGCTCTGGAAAAACAAAGCTGTCCTGCAAGTGTCATCTGGGTTGTGTGTTTTTTGATTGTGTCTGGTCTAGCTATTCATTGAAGGTATAGTCCTTTGGGTACCTTAAATATCTCTTTGGATATTATTATTCATTTTTATAAAATGGGCAGCTGAGGGAACCAAGCTCAAGACAGTGATGATATTAAAAGCACCTGATAATTTTTTTTAAATTGATGTAGCATTGGTGTACAACTCTGTGTGTGTTTTAGGATCACACCTCTTCAAGTGTATGTTATCACACCACACCCACCACCAAGGCACCAGGTATCCTCCTACCCAGTCCACTGAACCCACCTATACCTTTCCTTACCCACCCACCCCCACACACCTTTTTGGTAGCCTTGGCATTTTGAAAAGCTTCCCAGGTAATTCTTATATTCAGCCAAAACTGAACTACTGTTCTAGAACCCTGGTCCCCTGATTGGCTTAAAGGGTGAACAGGTGACCCAGTTCTGCCAAAGGAGAAGAAAAGGGGGGGGGGTAATGAGTTGTGGCCCCTTTGGGGAACCTGTCTAATTTCTTGATTCTTGTGCTACATCATCTTTACCTTTCTTCCCCATACCAAAATTCTATCACATTTTAAGAGAAATAAAGACTAGAGTCACAAGCTCACAAGCTCCGCCCTGAGAGTTAGCACATGGAAGATTCAAGTAGAAAAGAAATGCAGGCAGGAATTACTCGAAAGCTTACACTCTGTAGAAGGCAGAGAATGTGGCTTGACAACAGGACAAAACAGGTCATGGAATTGAAACCGCAGGCGAAATTTCTCTGTGGAACCAAGTCAGTAAAGAAACCACTGTCACTGCCCTTTGGTTTTTTGTTTGTTTGTTTTTTAAAGATTTATTTTATTTATTTATGCATACAAGAGCTGGGGTGTAGGCCAGAGGTGTGTGTGGTGAGAGGATCCACCAGAGTCAGAGCAGGGAACAGAACAGGCAGACTGACTGAAATACACTGCTGAGGGGAGCAGCTGGTGAGACAGGAGAGGTCTGCTGGACCATGTGGGTAGCTCCCTGGCCAGGGATGGAACTGTGCTGCAGTGGCTGCTGATAGCTTGACAGTGCTGAGACTTAACCCCTTGTGCCACCATTTCTACTGTCACAAAAATTTCCTAAATTCTCCCCTTTCCTGGCTTCTTCCTGAAACTAGTGCCCCCGTTTAAAAAACCTGAAGAGACACGTCTCATTAGCCAGGACTGTATGGAGCGCTAGTGAGTCCCTGGCGTGTGACTTGAGAAGTAGGCAGTGACATCTGCCCTCACCAAGACCTGTGAGCTGGAGATACCGCTGAGCAAAGGAGAGGAGTCCAGATGCTGGTGGCCAAAAGCATCCCCAATGCTCCCCAACACAATATGCAACCACACAGCACAGCCAGGTCTTCTGATTTTTCTAGAGTAACCAAAATTTGGAATTTTATATGACATTCCTGAATGGTAAGGGTTAAAACACACACACACACACACACACACACACACAACTGCTGACCATAGGCTCACTCTGTGACTTCTGATTTCTCTGGGACAGATGATCAGGCAAAAGAAAGAATAATTTCTTCTCACCCTCTGCCTAAAAATTAGACCTTCTAGACAATGAAGGGAACTTCAAGCTGGTATCTCCATGTGACCTGTGACATTGCTGAGCACAGGCTCAAAGTTTTCTTTCATAATCAGAACCAGATTTGGACATGCTTTAATAAAACATCAGGTCCTGGGGATGGCAGGATCAGAGACTACAAACAAAATTACCTATGAAAGGCATTTGCTCTTCAAATCGAATTAGAGAAAGGGAGCCCTGGATTTTATTACACTCAGCTTTGGAACACACTTGGCTTTGGACACAGTACTTACTGCCTTAGTTTATTTTTAAGACTTGTTCTTATGGGAGAATAGGATGTGAGGCTATCTTTGGAAGATGCTGGCAGAAGAAAATCAACCTGGGTCTTTCTTCTGAACATGTTTATACTGAGGAAATCATATTTAAGGGAAGAGCAAGGCTTGAAGGGGGGGGAAATCTCAAAGGACTGCTTGAACAGTGTGTATAAGGGGAAGGGGTCTTCTTCTGTGGGGACCAGTTAATCATTGATAAGGAACTTAAATCCTCAGATCTTTTGGGGCACTTGTCCCCTTCAATGTTTTTTTCTTATCAGAAGCCCCCAAATTTCACTACATCAGGTATTAGAAAAATTCAT